CGCGCCAATCAATGGTCTCGGCTACACTGTTATGCACATGATTCTAAGTAGTTCATGTCACGCAGAAAAAGAACGAAAAAAAGAAAAGAAAAAGAGATCTTAAATTTCACGTTGTTTGTTCAAGCGTACAGATTGTTATCATACTATGTTTGGCGCGTTTTCTTCTATTTACCACGGAAGGATGGGATTAAAAAGATGATGTTTTGCTAAAAGTGTAAATGCGGTATAAAGTCTGAAAAATTGTCAAAATGCTTGTTATTTTTCCGAAAGAACATTAGAAAGTACAATCTTATGTTTGCCTTGATATGATCAGCTATTATTTTTAACATGCACTCAGCTGAAAGAAATCCTGGTATGCTATCATATGTAACTGAAAATTACCCAACTCACCAGTATCTCTTGCTTTACATGACGTACACATTAACTATGTAGATCATATGAGCAGTTCAACAAACTAATTTTAAAACCTCCACTTTCGTTTCTTGTTAGAGCAGTACAAAGTGTGTCTTGAATCTTTCCTACACGAAATCTGCACTTGCAAGAATAAAACACTACTGTAAAATTCGATTGCTAATCTATTCCGAAATTCTATAATGTGCGTTATGTTATATGAATCAGTTTTTTACTTTGTACCATGTCCCTCGTCGTAGCCTTGTGTCTTTTTTCTTTTCTTTTCTAGTTGATCTCAATATTATGGATAAGGTTTTAATATAGATTGTAACGTTTTTCTTGATCAACTATCGAATTCATGCACAAGACACAAGGCTTCACCAGGCACGCCATCTTCAATTTTGGGGTACTCAATATCGTAACTTGGGCAGGCAACATTACGTTACATATTTCGTTTTGGGCATGATACTGTATTTTGGCCAAATAGATTATCGTTCCCAGGATTTTCCTGAGTAGTTATGGTGCCATCTTACCTTAACGAGGAATAGCTCTCATCTGGTTTGCTCAGCAGCTCTATTTCATGATATGTACACATAGTGTGCTTAGTGACCTTATACGATATATATGGAATTTACTGACCCCACTGTGTAACGAATTTATCTTACCGACTATCTTAACATATGGTATGTAGTCTAGTAGCCTATCAGAGTGAGCAAGTCTTCAATATTAAGAACCTACTTCCATTGGTCTATACAAAAACAAATGCCAACAATAACAACTTGTTAGCTTTTAATGTGTTTTGTGAATTTATTTTAATCGTTCATCATCAATTTCTTCGTCTGTTGAAACCTTTCAGATTTTTCCTTAACACCGTGTTGTTTTTACAAAGGGACGTAACGCCACTACTAATCGTGTATTGAAATAAACCACGCCTACTAACCCCATATGAAATATACACGGTCTCCACGCGGTTGATTTTAACCAATCATATTCCTAGAAATGTATAGGAGGTAAGATAAACTCAAATGCGGTACTGCGTGAAAAAACAAGTTAGGCTATACCGCTCGGGAACTGCTTGCTAAATTACTCTGGGAAAAGTAGGCATGGTATTTGTACACATCATGTGTATTCACATAGCCCTATGGTGACGTATTTCGGTCAAAGATATGCGGCTAGCCCAGACACAGTCTTTAAGCGGCAAATAATTATCTGAGAACACACTATCATGTTATGTATTATAATAACTTTTACATGCTGCGGGTTGCATATTATTTGTTTTTGTTTTTAATTCAAATGTAGCAGTTCTCAGTGAATTAAATGCCATGCGAAAAAATATCCTCATGCATTCACACATTGAATATTGACATTATTTGTTCAATTCTAATTTTTTTACAAAGAATTAATGGTTTAGAAGAGGGTCATTTATTAAAACAAGGCCTGGTCGCAAGTATGGACACACACTAATGTAATAATAAGTCATCTTGGTATTTTAGTATTGTATATATTTTAAGATGTATTGGTGTTGATATACAAAGTTTTGACGTTGAAAAGGTTAAAAATATTTTGATTAGTAGATAAAAGATTTACTGGAAAAATACCATAGATGATAGTGCAAATGTTAAAAAAGGAAAATTGCGTACTTATTTTGAATTTTAAAACATCTTCAAAAGGGAAGCATATTTATGTCAAGTTAATAAATTTCAATATCGAAAAAGCTAACTCAAATTAGAATTAACGCTCATCAGTTAGCTATTGAGAAAGGTCAATATAAAAGACTCGAAAAAGATAAAAGATTTTGTGGACAGTGCGAAAATATGCAGGTTGAAGACAACTTTCGTTTTCTAATGGAATGCACTGCATATGAAAAGAAAGGAATTTTGTTCTTGCGGAAGCATGTATTCAATGTAAAAACTTCTTTTATATTTCAAAGAACGAACAGTTTATTTTGTTTATGTCCAGTGAGTCTGAAAATGTTAATATATCAGTGTCAAGATTTATTAGTACTTGTTTTGAAATAAGAAAAAAATGCATTCCAGTAGCTAAACATACATGTAGTGATGTAGTTTATGTTTTATGTATTACACAGGGTTAATATTCCATTTATTTATTTTTAAACACCATCTTGTATGTAATATATCTTAAAATTGCTTAATAATTAACACTATATATATATATATATATTTATATGCTCGGAAACGCGCCCTTTAATTAGATTTAATAAAGTATTCATATTCTTACACCCTAGTTCTATTGTTATACTTCATAGTTTCTATTTCTGAAACAAGTGTAAATTGAATAGATCTATTGTTACGAATAACAATGGATTTTGTCCACAGGTTGTGACGAGCGGGGTTTCTGGAAACCTCTGCTTCTACATCCCGAAAACACATTCCATTGTTATTCATAACAATAGAAATTGTTTTTTGATAGCATGAACAGAAGAGATTACTAATAGTGTTCACTACAAGTTGTTTCAAGACATATTAAAAAAAAACATATTTCAGGAAATTCCAATAGCGAAAAAAATATTTAGCATCTATTTTGAATTAAAAATAATCATTTAATTACTCCTTTGCTTGAAGCTAAAATGTTGATCCCATATGGCAATGTCTTAAAGAACATACATGCAAAAAACTTTTGTCCAGGAGCGGATCCAGCCATTTTTAAAAAGGGGGTTGCAACCCAGGTTAAAAAGGAGGGGGGAGGGTTCCAACCATATGTCCTCATTCAAAAACATTGATCGTCAAAAAAATGAAGGTTCCAACCCCCGGAACCCCCATCCCCTGGATGGCCCCAAAAAAAAGGGGGGGGGGGGGGGGTTCTTACATATGCAATCTATATTTTTGTATGTGTCCGGTCGTCGGATTTCTAATCCAGACACACCTATCACTCAGTATGTTCGAATATGAATGTTTGTTTAGTGTTGAGAAGGAGGAGGGGCTTTTTTTTATAAAACCGTAGCATGTAAAATATATTTATGATTACCTTCATTAAACTGATAAATGCAAGTTCTTTGGGTTATAAATATTGCGTTTTCTTCAGTCTCTTCTGTCAAATCCAACGCCTGAATCAAAATGTCGTCCGTCTTATACCCCGTCCATATTGACAACTGCATATAAGGAGCATGGTGTTTTTTTTTTTTTTGTAATAAGAATGCACGATACTGCCAACCTTGACATGTTGGTCCATATAAGCACATGCATTTAACGGGAATATGCAAAACGGCAACTTTGACATTTGTAAAATCTACTCACTTGTCAAAGTTTGAATGAATATCGTCAAAGTAAGGTTACTATAGTGGGGTTTCATCTAAAAAAATATGCCTTTTCTTATTAGTTATGGTTTGATATTGTCAATCAAAATGCTATCCGTTCTTTTTCATTTGGTATTCAATGTAAACAAATTAAATGATTTAGTATCGGGTGTAAGTTAGTTATACACTTCGGGATACGGCGTGTCTGGATAAGAAACCCCTCCGGCCTCCGGTCGTTGTGTTTCTTATCCAGACACACCTCGCCCTCAGTGTATAACTATTACGTATTCACAGTGTGTCATGCGCACTGCTCGGATAAGTAAGTATAATTATGTTTCCATTTCAGACTGTTTACATGACAGTCAGTGAGTTTCTGTAACATAGCGTGTTAATTAAATTATAAAATTTTAATTTTTTTAAATTTTTCTGATATTAATTTACTGGGATAAACAAATGTACATAGACTTTTATCAAAATTTGATATAAAGTTGGAATGTGATATATCTACCTCCATGAAATAAGCTGGAATGTGTATATAGTTCAACATATCTATCAAATATAATTTGCAAAATAAGTTTCGAGTTTTAAATATCAGTATTATTCAGAATTATACAACTTTGATATTCAGTCAGATTCCAGATCCTACTAGATCAACCGAATCAGAATATTTCAGACTGTATGAAATTCTGTAGGACGAATTAAAAAGACCTCCTTACCTTGCAAGAAACAAAAGAAAATATATTCAGATTGAAATCTTTTACTGGGTTAGATCTACGGTAACAAAATCCCAACAACTGTTTGTCAGGTTAGCAGATATTGTCTGAAGTCCAAGTTTTTATACGGAAAACCTCAAAACATAAATCCGATAGAAAAATATGTATAAATTGCACAATTCGATGAATAATTTATTTTAAGTTTAAATAAAACCCTGTAAATTGTTAAGTGTTATTTGCGGAAACAAAGTACTGGCTGATAACGAACGGACACACTGACGCCAGCACGGGGGAAGGGGTGATAATATATTAGTATGTCTAAAAACGTGGTAAATAAATGTGAACAAAAGATGAAAAACAAGTTGTAAAAGGATTCGACCCCCGGAACCGGGATTACTAGTACGTGAATTAGACATTAAAGTTCGTGTCTGAAAAACCATTCTCCCTGACCTCCAGTTCAAAATTGTCTTTCTTTTCATCAATTCGACAAATATATGAATTTAATATGTCATGAAGCAAAACAATACCTTAAATGATAGTATTAGGGGTCTGACCTTACACCCTATTAACCTGAAATACCTCGAACCGGATTTACCCGTACTACATAAAACGTATTAGAATTTTTATTTTTTTTAATACAAGGTATCAACAGCTTATTTTTGTGACATCAGTATGTACGTCTTCAAACAAGTCTCATAATAGACATTCCACAAACCACCAAGACGTGAAGGTAAAGGTCGCTGGTAAGAACTGTAGCTTTACTATTCAAGCTCTGGCTTAGATCTGAAAAGGGATAATTATCAATTATTATAAAACATAAAAAATATCAATCAAGCATTTTCTAAAAACAAATAATTTCTTTCCTGAAACACCAGAAAAGGGGTTAATTGATACTATGTAATTCATAAAATGTTTCTGCATATCACTCATGGAAAACGAAGTGCGTTGCATCCGTAAATTTCGATATTGTCTCTATCCAGTTTGTATTTTTTTCAGCGCCTGTCGCATGTCTTTAAATAGTTAGAATAGAATCACGATAAATAAAATTTGATTGTGTATATACATGTATGTTTTATGTTATGTTAGGTAGTACTGTATGTTTACCTTTGATTTCTTATCCGGACTGGCTTAACCTTTGGACATTCAAATATTTTGGCCTCGAGCATCACGTTAGAGTTATTAACTGTCGAAATCCGCATCTGGTGCAGTGAAACTTGTTGCCGCTAATTGATACATTTACATGCACATTGTAGCCAATCTATTTCAAAATTTGTTAGAAAATGATACACATAAAAAATAATCTCTTTTCAATCGATGTATTGAGAAGCATGCTAACACCTTTAATCGACATTTTCTGTCACTCAGTCACACTTGAGCATATGAAAAATCGGTAAGGTTTCGAAACAATAGCCACGAACTGCCAAAAAAAACATTTCAGGGGCAATTTCTTGCCAGAAAGTTCTAAAATGTTTGAGGTAGATAGAACATGTCGAGCTAATAATTTTTAATCTGATAGTTTTTTTTTCAAAAATTCTATAGTTGTTTTTTTAGATATCAGCCAAAAACGTCAATTTGACCCCTGTGTTCTATTTTAGCCATGTTGGCTATGTTTGTTGATCTGCCTGGACAAAAATATCAAACTTCACAGTAGACATCTTATAGCTGAAGCAGACAAACTTTGGTTTCAATCAATTAATCAAGCGGTTTCAGAGGAGTGATTAAAAAAAAATTACGGACAACAGACGCAAAGTGGTGATAATAGCTCACAATAACCGCCAGGTAAGCTTAAAACCATAAGTCGAATAAAATCAGACTATACCATGACCAAAGACTAAAACTGATGAATTTTAGAGAATGAAATCCAACTAGACTAAGGATACAACACAGGGTTTTCATTCTTATTCTAACATTTACCGTCAAAAAGTCCAGTCAAGAAATGTTTAGTCCAATTCACTTAAACTGAGTAATTTCAGGAAATTACAATGAAAAAAGATGTGTTTCAAGATGAGGCTTCCACAACAACTACATTTTGTAATTCCAAACATTTTTTGTCTGTTTCTTTTAAACAGGCGCTTGCGCGATAATTATCTGGTATTAATAATAAATATGAAGTCAACCACCTGATGACATATCTTTTGACAGAGTTTTCCCTGACGATTATTTTTATTACGATACTATTTTCGTTGCTATTCAAGCAATACCTTGTATATAGCTTTAACACCTTACAAATACATGTACTTCTAAACAACCATCTTTCGGCAGTTTTTACACATCAATATTCATTCGACCCCAGGTATTTTCCAATTTATATGCACACTATTTACTTACGCGCATGAAATTTCTCAAGACTTGATCGCATCCCGTTAATTTCTGAGGCTGTCCTAAAACCAAATATTAACTTACCACCGTTCCCGCTCGACTTGTTCTCTTCCCAATTAAAAAAGATTTAAAAATATATTACTCTAAAACGGAAACCTTTTTTGTGGTTGATATTTTAATAGATTTCAAACGAAACGCCATTAATGTTCAAATGGTCTTTTATAATAGAATGATTAAATACTCATATTTTAGATTTCTACAAATCTTGGTCATATAGTTTATACACATGACGGATTTATAAGAAATAGAGTAGTGCTATACTTTCAACGATTTTAACAGTCCACACCTATTTGAAAATCTTGTGCTTTGTTCCGTAAAAAAAGTTTTTGTCAGCCTCACCCCTCCCCTTTTGGGAAAATTCAGTTGAAAATCAAAGATCCTCTCCTATCAGAAGTATATACTTAGAGTACATAGGTATATAGTAAGTAAATTTTTAATGGCTTAAAAGGTTGGTCCAACAAAGCTTTCAAAACTTTACTTTGTATACTTCAGTTGGCTTAGAATGTAACCTAATTTTTCATACTTCAACAATAAATCGTAATATTTATGATAGCATTTAGTTTTGAACAATTTATGATTTCTATGACCATGCTATAAAAGTTCTCTTAGTAATGAAAATATAACGTTAACTGAAATCCGAGACTTCAGAGCAAACACCATCATATCAAATCAGCTGAGAAATGTTCACTCTACAAGAAGGAACTAAACGGAACATCACCACCAAGGAAAGGAAAATCAACAATAGAAAAGGAAAATCGTCATTTTATCATAAACTTTAGTATGAATAATATTACCATATACACATTTCATATCATGGTCTTAAAAAGGCACATCGGTCACTGCTAATGTGTGATTAAGGACGAATGAGTTCCACTAGATACATTTCATTTATATATTTAGAAAGAGAGTGTTAGCAGAGGATATCCCCACAAAAAAGATAGTAAATATTATCAAGCGAATACCTATTGCTTTTAATCATTTGTTTGCATGTACATTGTGTAATTGTTTTGTTAGTTGTATTCCCGAAAAGGGGATTGTAACGACTGCAACAGATATATAGTTCTAGTTTTAAGAGTAGAAAAGTCATAACTGCAAAACTGAATTTCAAAGGATCGTGGCTTTTCCTTGACTTCACAACAGTTTTTCATACTCCAGAAATAGTCAATACCGCTATTAACATAGTTTTTGTCGTAGTATTTCATAACAAATTCCTTAATTGTCGTAAAAGCATAGGCCAGAAGAGGAGAATCGAAAAACATGTGTAGCTGAACATTTATTGAACGCAGATATTAAACGAAATTAATAAGGCGTCGTGTGTAATTTGGGAAGACAATACATAGCAGAGCCTTGTCATGTCCAGCAGTAGCTTTCAATTCGTCGTTGTTAAAGCATGTTCATCTACTGTCTTATCTTCGGTAAATATTGTAGGGATATCAATTAAATGCGGAAGAATAAACAGTTCTTGCTCCACTAGTGGTTACTGTCATGGTGCTATTAACAAGTACAATTCTGGTGAAACACTCGAATTGGAGTAGAAGGGGAAACAATATGAGTACGTCAAGTGGATCAAATCTGTGGAGACAATTTTTTTTATCTCTATTTTGAGAATTTTATGATGGAAACGAATTATGTTTTTCAAGGATAACCAATGCAAATATATACTACGGTATTAGATAAAGTTACAAACCTGCAGTTGTAGTGACCACAGTAGTAGTAGTAACTGTTGTTGCAGCGTTAGCATTTACTATTACCAAAACGAGAAGCAACAAAATCCAATGCACGCCCATTGCTAAAATCACCTAAATAAAAACAAGTATCAAATCTATTAGCAGCAATCACTTAGCTAACACTCTATCCATTCTTTGCCCAAAAACATTCAGACATTAAAAAACAACTGTTTAGTCGCCTTTAACGTGTTGTTTTAAGGTAGCTATGTTTTGTGTCGACTGTGTTACAAATAGAATTCAGTGAATTTTTTTCAGGACTAGTTTTTAATGTTTGTACTTATTGTCATTCTACAGATCGCGATTACAAGACAGAGTAAATTATTCTCCAAACTCGTTTTGCAGCACCACATTTAATGTGTTTGTTATAAGCCAGAAACGTTATGAATGTTAACATTTCTCTATTTCCTATCGTGACATTTTTACGAGTCTGGATTCGTATGACAGGTGATGCATGCAAAGCAGGATACGATAACCATTTGATGAATACGGTCTCCGCTTAGAGTCCACACATTTCTTTACGGTCCTATGTTAAACATAACGGTTTTCAATATTTAAATTAAATAAAATAATACCCATTGAATTCCTTTCTGCACGGACGTCAGTATATAAAGAAAATTTAAGGCGCGCTTGACCAATGCGACGTTCGTTACAAGATGGCAAGGACAGAGTAGTTAGGTTGGTACACAATACGTCATCTTGATATGTCAGATTCAGAAAGCCATTCTCAGCCAAACAGTCACCAATCTACTGAAGGCGCAGGTTCTAGGTCTGGTGAATATAGTCGCGATACAACTGAGTTCAACGCTGTTGATGCTGTACACTTGTTCAACACCAAAATTGACATTGCTCTAGAAAAACAACGCATCTCCATCGTTTCTGAGTTGCAGGACAAAATAAAAGTCAACGCTGACTTCAAAGGTGATGGTAACAAGATACAGTATTCATTTAGTGAAGAAAGACTGAGCAACCTTGATAACCTTGCTAACAAAATAACTTTTGGTGACCCCAAAGGAGCCCTTTCACTTCTCCACTTAGAAAAGAAAGCTTTAACCTACAGAAATTAACTCTGAACGATAGCTTACAAACATGGTTGGGAGACCGTTAGAGAGTATACTGATACCGATATTGCTGAAGACGCCACACACATTTGCGCAGCTGCAGCTAGCCAGAGCAGCCACTAAGAAACGACGTCAAAGCCAAACACCTTATACGAGGAATCCAACCAATTTTGCACAACGCAAACCTGGAGCTTTCGACTGTATGTCTACTAGGCAGCTTTTTCTTGGCTCTCAGCCTGGATCAAGCCAGCGTCAACCATTTAACGCCGATTCCAGAGCAATTGTCAACGGCTTTAAGCCCAATTTTGGACAAGAAAACAACGTTGTCTGTTTCTCCTGCAACTTGCCAGGACACATTGCCAACTACTGTCCCTATTCGGCTCAGCTTCAGAGAAGACAGAATCCCACAGCAACGTTCCCAGACCCTGGAGACAAACACTGAACAAGTTGAGTATAATTTACATAATCTAAATGAACATTTTGAACCAGAGAAAAACACAAAACCAATATTTTCGGTTAAAACAGACTTAAAAAGTCCATTAACTTTTGGAAAGATATATTGAAACCTAGCGAATTTATACTGAACGTCATACAATTTGGTTATTAATAGATTGGAATTTCTCGAGTTACCACAGAATGTTATACTTAAGAATAACAGATCGGCAACAGACTTTGCAGATTTTACAGAATCAGCGATCTCGGTACTTTTACAGAAAAACCTTATCCTTGAATTATCAGACCCCCACACTGTGTCAATCCATTATCTGTATATATGTCAAACAGTAGAAAACCTAGGTTAATTCTAAATTTACGTCACGTTAACAAATGTGCAGCAAAACGAAGGGTTAAATTTGAGGGTACAGTAGAAGGTTTAGCCTTTGCTAAAAAAGGCAATTTTATGTTAAAATTTGATTTGACTAGCGGGTATCATCACGTCCATCCTGATTATTTCACTCATTTGGGGTTTTCTTGGAAATTTAAGTCAGTTACCAAATACTTTGTATTTATAGTTTTACCTGTCGGTTTTTCTAGTCCTTGATACATGTATATTTACTAAAAGTCTAAGACCTATAGTCAAATAGTGGAGATCTAATTGTTTATCTAGACGACGGATGGATATGTGATAAATTGGATAATTGTAATAAACTTTCAGTAAAGTTACAAAACGACCTTTTAGACGCAGTTTTCCTAGTTAACAAAGAAAAGAGTCAATGAGAACCAGTACAAATTTTAGACTGGCTCGGTTTTACTTGGAATTTACGCAATGGTTATATTGATACACCACCTCATAAACTAGCAAACCTTCGTGAACGGTCATTAACGTCCAGACAAAAACGCAAGTTTCAGCAAGAGAGCTTGCATCTGTCGTGGGTTCTATCCTTTCCTTGAAATTTGCCTACGGCTCAGTTTTCCAATTATTTTCTAGGCAAATGTCTATGTTAATAACTCATAAACTCGATTGAGACGTGAAGATCTTACTTTCCCGATTGCTCGGGCTGAACTTAAGTTTTGGTTCGAGAACGTGTATTCACTTTCGTCCATAGTTATTTCACCTTGGTTTTGGAAACCAGAGAGAATCATTTATACAGACGCAAGCGATCACGCAGGTGTCGGAGTCGTCTTAAATTCAGTTAACCAGACATTTCATTGTATGTGGGAAGACTAGACCATAACTCAAAGTTCAACATTCAGAGAACTCAAAGCTGTAGATTTAGTTCTGAATACTTTAGGAGATAAATTAGAGAACAGGTTTGTTAAATTATCTTGTAGCGAACGCACAACCCTATACTGTGTTTGGTTTTTCTACGATATCTAGTTAAAAAAAATATTTTCAGAGGAGTGAAACGAGGGAGAAAATAAGTGCATGTAGTTGGTGTGGTTTAATGGACTTTAAACATTCACTTAAGCTTCTATTGTATCTGATTTAAAAAGTAGTACCAAGCATATCTGCAGGTTTCGTTAAAAAACCAAAATAAAATCATCGACAATATTTGAACTATTCATTCTTTGAAAGAATACCTTAAAGCTGACCTTTTCCGATCGGATAGAATATGACACCCTGAAAAATATAAACCAGGTATCAATGATTATATTGTAAACCACAGTAAATAAAGTATTGTTTAAAATATTTGATATTGAATCAAAAACATTTATTATTCGATTATTAAGGAAAACTTCATATAATCTACCGATAACAAATATTTAAACCTATGGTAAACAATTTATGAATCCATATTGTATTCACTTCGTTAATATTTCAAAGTCAAATCACAAATATGGGAAAATTAGAAAAACTCATGCTGTATCCTTTTTTTATCATATGCTTATAATTTTTACAGTATGATAATAACATTTAATCTACGTGGATTCCATATTTTCCAAAATGGTGCTTAGCGGGCTGATATGAAAAATTCATCAACTGCTTCCGGTTATTATCGCATGCCTTTCCGTAACGTTGTCAAATGGCATTTCAACGTCACTCGGCAAATTCCGGAAAATACACCTCAATGGTACGTTTTCAGTGAAAAACATAAAAAAGTAGGATACAAAACAAATATTAGGAAACAGGAAAATATATAATGTAAAATGCAAAACAAATGATACAATAAATGCATTTTTTTCAAAGTTTTAAAAATATTTCTTGTCTGTATTTCTTCCGTCGTCCGTAAAGTTTTCACTTTTTGAATTTTTACTTGAGAACCATTTAAAATGATCAATATATTAAACTGTTATTTTTCTCCATTGTTTAAGCATATTTTCTTTATGATAAAAAAGATCATAACATGTCATTTTTCATATCAGATGTATTATCAGCCCTCGAGCCTTCGGCTCTTTAGCTGATATTGAACCTTGGGCTGATAATATATCTGATATGAAAAATGCCATGTAATGATTTGATTTGAAACTTTAAATAGTTAAAACAGCTAATAGACGTTATATTTTTTTAACAATATAAGACAAGTAATTGGTCATGAATCATTATGATAAAATAAATGAGTTTTGAAATACAAGTTTAAAATTAGAACTGAAGTAATATTATAATAATTGTTCAAATATTCAATTGTTATCCTTAAACACAGTTTTAGAAATGAAATAGTTTCTTGAAAGTTTAATTTAACTTGAAACTGCCATTTAAGTTTACAGATGCAGCATACATGTAACAAGTGATTCAATTTTATGAAAATCCTTGGCAACCTTTCTTACTTTTGACTACTTGCATCTTAAATCAAAATTCTGGCAACTAAATAATTTATTTTGATATTCTTAAATCGTGTTAATAAAAAAAAATAAGAAATACAAAATGGGTTATGTGTGCAATACTTGTTTTTTTTCCAAATATCACTATCATATTCTCAATCTCGAATAATACCTAATTGGAATCAAGTCTTTGATAGGATTGGTGAATGGATTACTGTTTAAAAGCAAGTCGTAAATAGAACAAGCATTTCAGGACGAGAACATGCTGATTTTATATGATTATGAATGCTGTATGATATTAAAATCGAATCATTGACAAGTCTTTTATAAGATGGATGGATTAGTCTTTAACATGCAGTGGCAAAGATTATATGCATATCAGAACCATAAGAGCATGTTATGTGAACATGAAACCTGCTTTGTACTAGACCCACACGATGAACCGCATTATGAACGTGTTCGTTTACACGGTAGCAGTTCACAGGATTTTTCCCCTTGAGAAAGAGCACATTTAAAAATCAGACTCAGCGTGTCAGTCTTGTACAAAGCAGGGTTCATATTCATTTCACATTAAAATGTTCTTGTCCTGAGTAAATAAGCATTTAAACATGCCACTGGACGTTTAGGGCATACGATACAGTAGCAGGGCCTTGTTTTCACGACTTTTCTAAGAATAGCATCCAAAATTTGCAAAAATACACTGATGTCGTCAAATCAGTTGCATGAATTGGAAAGCAATAGAAAAGAATGATACTTTATAGAATTATGTAAATTTTACCTCGGACATAAAGTTCAAACCAAATGAAGACAGGATTCTTTTTATATCATCAGTAAATTCCACTTGAAAAAGACAATGTTTCGTAAACTCTGTTATGTACGGTGGGAATTCCTGAAAGACAATATTGCATTAAGAATATATAATCTGCGACGCAGCCTAGCGCCAAAAAGGGAAATGGGATCTCAAGCATTTCATCAAAAGTCGGTTTTCTGCTTTTAATTAAAAAAAATAAACATATAGACCCCACTTTTTTGCAATCAAGTATGTATTGCTTCAAGAATGGTATCTCTAATTTGAAAGAAAAAGTCAACGGTAAATACTAAATAGTTTGACAATAATTCTATGACACATTTTTTGTATTTAATCTTTAACCTGGTCACAAACCTTAAAGCATATTTCCTAAGGAACACTTAAAAAAATACTGATTATATTTTAAGTTCTGTTAATTTTACGGGAAAATATTGAAATATGAAATTTTTGTGGTTTTGCCTCATACAAGCCAAAATGAAACTGAAATATCTCAAAAAATCAGTCATGAAGATATCTCTATCTTTGTATATCAACGAGAGATTTTTTTCTGCATTGAATACCACAGGCACTTGTCTCTGAAATTTTTTTTTAACCTATATACTGTTATATTATAAAAGTATAGGTAAAATCCAGAGATAAGTGCCTGTGTTGAATACCCCTAAACAGTCATCCGTCCATCTATCCTAAAATATTTCAATGTCTGTTACATTTTGATACAGTCAACAGCAAACACTGTATTGGGAAAAACACTAGTATCTATAAAATAATGTAGCAAGTGATAAATACACTTATAAACTTACTACAATTTTCACAGAACAATATCCTCCGAAACATGGAACAAATAAGAGTGCTATATTATCCAAAATTGAAAAGTAGTGTTAGTTTTGGAGTTTTATTTTAAAGAACTCTTACAAAATTTCTTCTGAAACAAACAGCTTGAAATGGATGCCTTAAAATTGTGTTTGATTGACGTGTTAATTTGGTCACCATGGTCACTTGAAATACTGGACTCACTACACAAATGCCAAACATTATGTGTTTACCACTAAAGTTAAAAGAAAATATTGACCTAGCTATAATTAGGTGAAGATAATCAAATAGACCATGCCAAAATTCATATTAATTTATTTGAATTGATCTACTATAATTATATATGATATGATGTTACAATTTGACTTCCAGATTATTTTTTCTCTTTGAGTGTTTATCCAAGTTTAAAATAAAACGGTTAGGTCAATATGTTCAATAAAGTGCTACCGTTTGAGTTTAATTTCTATGCGGCCAAATACACGTGTCTAAATACATTTTATAAATGTTTAAAAACAAAGTTTGGTTTAGGATTTTGAAGTACACTCAACATTGAAGTCAACTATAAGTGTTTTCTAATTATACCCCACGCAATAATGTTGCGTGGGGTATAATGTGTTTGACCTGTCTGTCTGTCTGTCTGTCTGTTTGTCTATTAATATCTGTCTGTTTGTCTGTCTGCCTGTCTGTTTGTCCGTCCTGTTCTTGTCATCGCAATTCCTCTGAAACCACACAACAGAATGTCATGAAACTTTGTAGATAATAAGGAAATACTATGTAGATGTGTATTTCGACAATAAATCACATGATTCAATATTTTTTAGGAGTTATGCTCCTTTGAATTTAGAATTTTGGCCTAAATATACTACTGCAACAGTTTGTCATCGCAACTCCTCTGAAACCACATAACAAAGTTTCAAGAAACTTTTTTAGTAGATAATCAGAAATACTATGCAGATGTGCATATCGACAGGAAATTATGCTTCCTTTTCCTTTAGGAGTTATGCCCCTTTGAACTTTTTGGCCTAAATATACCACTGCAACAGTTTGTCATCGCATATATTTATATTTATTTGCTTGCCTTGTATACTTTTGTCCAAGATATTTTCATTTCAAATTGTTTGAAAGATGTGATTTTATTTTCATTTCTAATGTGACAGAAAAAAAGAAAACGGCATGAAACGAACGGCCGTTCCCTCTTCTGTAAAGGGATCAATCTGTTGAAATTGGTGAAATTTTGCAAATCCAACTGTAAATATATATTATGAAACCAAAATGTCATTGTCCATTTAAACTTTCTACTACTTTTGTTTGATACGATTAAAGGTATTGCAGTTTCGTAAACGAATCCCCCTTTTTCTCGCAGGATATGTGTCTTCTATTCAAGTTGCATACAAATGAGCAGCAACAAAATTGATATGCTACATAATTATTCATTTCTATTGACGATCTAATATCTGTTTTTGTATAATTTATAAGAAGTTAAATAGATATATTTTTTTTTAATTTGAGTAGTATGGAATCTTGATATTGAGTTGTACAATAAACAGTATAGGGGTTACAGTACAGAGAATAATGATCCAGAAAAATTAAGAACAGATGAAATTGGGTCAAAACTATAAAGATCAGAGAATAATTAGCTGTTAAAATATGAAGAATTGAGAAATGTGGAAAAAATATAAAGAAAAAAGAAGAACAGCCAAACAAGTTAAAAAATACAGAAATGAAGACGCTCCATCCAGACCCTAACATACTAACGTCAAATGTTCAGTAATGAAGACACTCCATCCAGACCCTAATGTACTAACGTCAAATGTTCAGTAATGAAGACACTCCATCCAGACCCTAATATACTAACGTCAAATGTTCAGTAATGAAGACGCTCCATCCAGACCCTAATATACTAACGTCAAATGTTCAGTAATGAAGACACTCATCCAGACCCTAAAATACTAACGTCAAATGTTCAGTAATGAAGACACTCCATCCAGACCCTAATATATTAACGTCAAATTTCAGTAATGAAGACGCTCCATCCAGACCCTAATATACTAACGTCAAATGTTCAGTAATGAAGACACTCCATCCAGACCCTAATATACTAACGTCAAATGTTCAGTAATGAAGACGCCCCATCCAGACCCTAATATACTAACGTTAAATGTTCAGTAATCTTTCACTACCTTTATTTGTCCAATACTTTTTTTTCGCCTTTTGTAGTTTTATTTTACCTTGGAAGAGTCTGCTTGATTTACAAGTTTGTACAAATTGCCTTTTCAGGTACCGCCAATGAGTCGGTGGTTTGGTTCTAGCATATTTAATTAAATGATATACATTCTCATTTTTATTTTTAACTTATACATAACATAATCATTATTATTATAATGTACTAGTGAAGGTAAGGTTGCAATTCACGCAGGTAAAGTTTCCCGTAGACATGTTCGGCTGTTCTGTTTGTGTCTTTCTTCGTTTGAGTCCTCAATATATATTTGGCGTCCTTTTTTATGTCTCAATTAGCGTTCACTTGTTTGACTATAAAATAATATGAGTTTTGCTTATTGTTAGAGGGAGTACGGTTACATGTAGTTACTAACATCAGCATCATTTGGACTCTTTCGAGGGGCAACATTTTTAATATTCATGCTATTATTATTCTAATATTAAAAAGCTGTCACTACAGTATACACGCACGCTAATTTGGTACGAACCAAAGAAGATGTATGGTCTATAGAAATGCTATTAAAAAAAGGGCAACAACCCAAACACACTCGCACACTATAAAATCGCCAAATTGAAGAATTTGTTTTGTAATACTTTAAAAAAAAACCTTAATCATATTTAAATATGATAAAACATTGTTGAATGCTTTGAAGCAGATTTATCAACGCCAGGTTTAAAGCAAACAATGCAGATGAGAGTAAACTATCGGTGTATACAAGCCTACATTCAATATTGACACATTTGTTTGGGAGGTTTGATAATTCAATATCTCAAAAAACCAACAATACCACTAAATTCAAAAAATAAAATATGAAATGGAAATCATTTGTTAAATATATGCTTAGAATCTATTCAAAGTCTGGCCTCCCACTCAGTACTCAGAGTACAAAGTTTGTGCTCGAAACAGCAAATTGAATATTTTAATTGGCTGGTAGTGTTAAAACGATAATCGTACCCGAAAAGTTTACGACTTTAAGAACTGATCTTATACGAGACCAAAATATCTGACCAAGTGATGATTGATTTTTTTTGCATTTGATTTTCGTATGAAGCTGGGACAAATAATTTCCTTAAATATCAATGAAAATGATGTTCGACAACATGCTAATTGAGTTTAGTGGATTGGTTGATTGGTTGATTGATTGATTGTTGTTTTCTTTACCTCCAGTGTCAAATATTTCATGCATATTCAGTAGGAGAAAAAAATTATCAACCAATACAATAGGTATGTCGTTTAATAGGGTCGACCAGGAAAAGGGTGAGAAATTTGGACTGCCACTGGAAAAGGAGGGTATATTCGACAGGGCCTTGCAACAGGCTCGCTACAAACCCCTCAAAGAGGTGCTGCAAGGGTGATTAACGTGCAGAGAGCAGAGATAATACAAAATCTTGCATTTATACTTTTACTGTATTTTACTTTATTTTAGTTTGGTTGATTTTGGCACTGTCATCTTAGGCGCCAAATAAACCAACATATCACTAATCAAAATATCCTGATTCCGGTTTTAATGATTTAAGTCTGCCATTAATCACACATGATTTCAATGGTTTCTATAACATAATTTCGATTGAGTCATGTTGTCCCTGAATATGGTTAAATAGTAGGCTCTAGCATATTTGATCCTGAATATGTAAATTATGTAGACTAGCTAGGACAGAGAGATCTTCAACGTTACTACTCAAGAATGGGAGTTGGCAATAAGAGAAATGAGCATAAACCCTTGAATTTCAAGAAAAAAATAGATAAAAAATTATGTTAAAAAAAAAGTTATCAAACACACAGTGGACTTTGAAATATCCTTTATTTGAAATAATCTGCAATACATTAGATGTAAGTTATGACTAATTATTATGTGAACCAACTTGAAGGTTATCCATTGATTAACACAAACTTAGAACATATTCTAATAACATCTTAAAAATTACATATAGCACCAGTAATTGATTACTTTAAATTCTAATAAATATATATCATTTGTTATTTTATGTCGCCATGAGTGAACAAACAGTTATTTTCATTTTTTTTATATTATATTGTCATTGCTGATAATGAACAAACATATAACATAGTTTGGTTATGGCATTAGTTCAAGTACAAATAACGCGTCATAATTTAGAAATTTTCAACAACTTCAAAATAGTCCTGTAAAATAAATTCCTCGAGAGAAGCGTTTGCTTCATCTTAGGAATAACAGTATTTAGATACCCTATGGAAGGGTTCAATTTATCAGCTATATACTCAAAATGTGGCCCGCTAAGAACTGCCACACCTCTTCCAACCTTACACCATACAGCGGCAGGGTGTGGAATACCGTCTGGTGAATTATTGTATCTTGCTATAATCTTTACGTTCTCTGTAGTTTCGTCGTCTAAAGTAAAATGGCCGCCACCATTGAAATACAAGTAGGTGTCTGCAATGTCTATTGGAATAATGTCTTTGTTGTCCTGATCCGTTGAAGAAATGTTTGTAACCATGGCAACGTCTGTTTTGATTTGTGCTGCATGAGCTCCCGCTTCACTGTCATAAAAAAATCCAGGAAATGTTGGTCCAATACAAACTCCTGTTCAAAAAATTTAATTCGAGGTACATTCTGTTGGCGTTAAACATACTATAGAACATACGGTAACTAAAAGGATGATTAAATGATCCATAGGTTATTAAAATACACACACATGTATATACATATGTAGGAAAAGACAATAAATGCTGTCTGCTTAACGACAACACAAAAAGAAAGACAAAAGCAGATTCTCTTGAAGAGGCAAATCACAACAAAACATATGCTACACTACCTTATCATTTATTGATATTCAAATCAAACAAAGTTATTTGAGGCATTGGTCAAGCTTTATTTTTAAAAATAATCCTCGGTGTAAACATTATGTACGATTTACTCAAAAAAACTGAGCTAGGTAAACTCCGTCCGACCCAGTTGACCTTCAAGGTTTTGCCTTTTTTTTTGTTACTGATGTCCTTGTTGGTTAAATTGCTTCCAATGTATCTGAGGATACAAATTTGGGTATCCCAACTTCCGGCTTTACGCGATCTTATTGAACTTAAAGGTTAATTTAACATGCGCTTTGTGAATATTTGATTGTACCATTATGATGATCTAAAGTTTTGCTCACTAATATTATGCAATTGCAAAAAAAAAACGTATGTATTTAAGGATTTCAAGTAAATGGCGGTCTCGTAATAATAATTTATAAACAAGATTTAAATGAGTAATTATTTCTGCTTTCATTTCATATTACCTGGGAAAAATCCAAGATCTCTGTTTCCACACACTTCAAATTTTCCACCTTTATCAAACTCGATTCTACGACAAGCTAAATATGCTCCTGCACAAATACCTAAATATGACCCACCACCCTCCACATATTTCTTTATATTTCGTATTCCGTCTGTCTGAAGAGCCTGTATGTAACCCGTGTCATAACCGCCACCTATAGCTAGCAATGCTGCTGTTCGTAACAAATCTCCTGCAAAAACAAATATAAAAACTCGCCAATTCCATAAAAAAAAATTCTTTGCATAAAACAAGGAGAAAATCGAGAAATCTCCAAAGATTGATTACCATTTCGGAATATAATGCATTTTGGGTAATATTTTAAAAAGTTGCCTTTACCGAAGCAATGGATATTCGATCGATAGGGAAACATTATTTTCATTTTGTTGAATTTACCCATGCACAGATTGACTCAGAATGAGAATAATGTATGATCCCTGTTATAGATGCGCATTCCTGCCTACTGCAAAATTGTAGTATAACGCGTTTCAATCAAGCGTGTCAGTCTAATTCAAATCAAAATGTATTCCTAAGAGTATACATTTTAAACCCATTTTTAAGACATAGTACAGTCATATAATGTTTGGTTCTGGGTGTTCTGCAGCCATCAATCACTTCATCCTTTAACGTAAAAAGGTCGTGTTAGCATTAAGCTGTGGGTTTATATTGACGTGTCTGGACCGAATCGGTAATTAAGAACTGGACCGTATGTTGAGCTATTGATGTCTTTTTTTATTCTTATTTTTTTGGGGTATCCGTTTATTAACGAATAGCCCACAACTATTTTTATTCATGTGTGTATCATACATTCGATACTGGTTACATTCGTAAGAAGCATTCAATCGTACCTTTTCTTATTTCCTCTGGTGAAATTAGACAAATTTTGTAGTTTCCACACATAGTCTTTAAGGACTCGAATAGCATCTCAGTTGCTTCTTTGCTTACTCCTTTTCCATGATATACATATATAGCTTTTCTTTGCTGCGGAAAATATGAACGATTATCTTGCAAATACCAGTCAACATGGTCAAAGGTCGAATTTATAATTATTAAGAGTTTTATAAGACATATATATATTTAGTGACAACAAAACAAATTTAAAAGAAGGCATTTGGATAACTATATTAGATATGAGTGTGAAAAGACAAAGAGAGAGAGAGAAGACTACCACATTATGTGATTCAGCGGTAGTGATTTATAATGATAATCGTAAATAAGTCTTCATATATCCAGTGGTGGATTTAGGGGAGTGTAGAGCCCCCCCCCCTTTTGATTGCAAAATATATCGTCCAAAATCTTTTCGCCCTCGCCACTTGGCGGTATATATTCCTTTTTCTGCAATTACGCCCCCTTTCTAAAACATGTAACAGCCCCCCACACACAGATACCAAACTTAGTAAAATAAACACACGACAGCACAAACGAGCGGGTAGAAATTTGTAGAATTTCAAAATATTTGTATATACATAAATAAATAAATAAAAATCTATTTTCAGATTAATTTACGCACTAAATTTGAAATTGAACATGATACTTACATCCATCACAATGACGTTCGTGATAACCACCTGCAGTTTAAAAAAATAAAATTAAAAACAGTTAAATGGAAAAGAATAACCATAAGAATAAGCACTCTCTCTACACGAGGCATCGGATTTAACGTCCCCATTCTGACATTCAAATAATAATGAAAATAGTAAATCCAGAAATAATTGTATATTTGTACATATATATCATCAAGTGCATTGAACAGGAATGAATATATTTGATATAAGTTTGATAACTATATCCTCATTTTTTCAGTGGCAGTCCAAATTTCCCCGATCAACCCCAAAGAGTGACTGGAGAAAAGAAATATGGTCACTATCGGTCTTCTTCCGACCGGTAGTAAAACCCTTGCCAAAATGGGGCGTCTGTTTGGCTGTGCGGGATGTACAAGTACACAGTCACGTCCGGTCAGAATGGGGAGGTTCAACCAGATGTCTCGTGTGTATAGCGAGAGTGCAAGTTGCAACGCTCTCTGCACGTTAAGAACTCTTGCCACAACTCTTTGGGGGGTCAGTAGGTGGCCTGTTGCAAGGCATAACTTCTGTCCCTATCCAATTTATCCTCATTTTCCAGTGGCAGTCCAAATTTCCCCGATCGACCTTAATACTGGACGGCCACTATTGCAGGACCTACCGATTGTATTTATTGATAGTTTGTTCTCGACCTGAACATGCATGAAATATTTGCCACTGGACGTTAAGCAACCATCAATCAATCAAATCAAGTGCAATGACATGACTTTTCTGTGATTTCTGTTTAATGACAATGCAATACATCTTATCGTTATTTTTTTAACCGATTTTTAGAGTTTCTTGCTGAAAATAAGGGAGCATACCCTGCCAACTATGCAACAAAACCTTTACATCAGTTCGATGCACAAAATCGTGCAATAGTTTTATTTTGTCAGAACCGGTGGCTTGCTATTCTATTTTCCGATATTCTCAGTCTAGATAATACTATCAAATCTCTGGTTAATAACTTTATTTGCATCATGCTCTAGAAACCTTGAGCATATACATTATCAGAAACAAACGTTTTAACTATTGATGTTACTGCCTTACCATCCAATAAGAACCCCTATCATTTCACACTGTATACATTACAAAATTTCATGTTTATTGAATTTTCCTATTGAATTTTTCACTTTTTTCATATTCATATATTTATTTCAGAACATCCCAATATTAATATTAATGTTTTAGAAAAAAAGCAATTTTATTTTGCTAAAATATACTGATTCTTACGAAAAAATTTTAAATAGATATTAAATGTACCAAGAAGCTTTCAAGAGTGTTTCTTTGATTAACAGCTCACTTTCATTTGCTTTGGTTGGTGGGTACGTTTTTTCAAGAGCGGGCCAATCATATACCACATTCTGTGGGATCTTTTTGTTCCTTTATTGTCTCAGGCATATATCATTCAGGGTGCTCTCACGGGGATTGAATAGAAGTAATTTTTCAATGAAAGCACAATTCTATCAATTCGAACATCGAGCTGTCACGTATAATTCAAAGTATTGTAACTATGCTGATCGCATCTTTCTCCCATTGAATTCGTAATAAAGGTTATCACAGGTATATAAAGGTCTGCTTCACATCTCGACTAATAAGTAGAAATCGACTGCAGTCACTCAAAGTTTTCATTGTTAGCTCCTTTAAAAGTAGTTTCTAAGTAGTTTTCAGTGTTGCTTTCGTGATACCTTATCTTTTAATGTTTGCGCTGTTAATCTGTCGTGAAGAATTAACTTTCGTCGAATCTAATTGGTTTTAATTATAAATATAGATTTAGTTCAATTTACGTGAAGTTACGACTCCGTAATAAAGTGTGTTCCTGTAATTAAGGAGGGGTATTCATTTAAGACATGACATGGTGTTGTCTATCCTTAATTCGTCTTTGTTTATATTTTCATTTTATGCTATCACAGTCGGTCGTGTAAAAGGATCATTACGACTAATAACAATAAGTTGAGGTCACATTTGTTCTAAACATGATGATGGAACAAATAAATAACGATAAATTACGAAATACCTGTTACAAATGTGTCGGAAACCAATAGTGATCCGAAATTGGTTCCTTAAATAGACACATCGGGTCAACTTCCTGTTACAAAGACAGAAGAAATGTTACACCAAAACCCTTCAAATACTAGAATTCAGCCCAAATGGGAGGCATTCTATCAAATTTGACAGGATCTCCAGAAACTAGTGAAACCCAGGGTTGTAATAAATTTTGGGGACATGTCACGAGGTAAAACAACTTTCCCTTTCCCCTGGTTGCATAGCACAGACACTTGTTTCATGCGATTGTAAAGGGCAAGAAAGAGGGAAGGTTCCTTTGCCATTGCATGAAACAATTGCCTGCGGATTCTGAGATCTGGCTACTCAAATCAGAAAATTGCTCCAGACTCAGAATCACAGGCAAAAGGGAGAAGCATTTGTCTTAATATTGGATACATGTCAACTCGTACTCTATTTTTACCAACTCCTATACCAACTACTCAATATTTTATTATTATTTATTTTCATTATAGTTGTTATTTTCTTTCATATATCATGATAAATACAAATAGAATAAAATATAACTTTGATTGGTAATATGATGCAATCATAATTGTTTCAAATCAAAGCTAATTGAATGCTAATCATTAATGAAATTGTTTGAATGGCAATTTACATGTATTTGATATGCATATTGAAAAAGAGGGAAGAAAGATACCAGAGGAACAGTCAAACTCATAGATTGAAAACAAACATGTTGAATAATTATAATCATACAATATACTAATCAGTGATCATTAGTGGATAATGGATCTACAAAAATAGAATGGGGTTGTTTAAATAAGAAATAAAAATACTATATATTCTTTATTAACTTTGAGCCTTACGGCTGATCAGGCCAAAATAAAAATATTGTATGTTTGCCCAAACGCGACCGACCCAAAAAAACCCGCCAACTCAAATTCTTTTTTTGCCGTTTTTTTGAAGAATTTTTTTTTTTTCGGATCTTTTTCGTGTCCGCTTCGTCATCGTCAAGTAACTGTGAATAAGATTAAAAGAAAGCGTGTAAGAGACGCAGTTAATCGATATTCGATGTTCTCGGTTTTTATCTTCTGATTTAACGAACGGTTACTTCTGCTTTGGCGCCGGCTACTTCACAATTGTCAAAAATAATATTTTCACAAAGTTTTCAATTTTTAACCAAGTCGATGAAACATTGATAATTAAAGAAATTCAGACATAAACGATTCGATTTCTGAAGAACAGAGATTTAAGCATTGACTTTACAGTGTGAAGCAGATCATTTAATAAAAAGACAACTTTTTATCACTTCATTCACTTCCGGTACTTGTTACACGAGATTGTACATCAGTCTAACTTTCGGCAACAAAATAAGTTTGTTACTTCATTTGAACGTGATAAAAATTGCCTTCAGTAAATGTTTAATCCATTTATTGCATTAAAAACGTTATATTCCTTTCCAAATAGCTTGTCAAACATCGTTTATTTTTGTAAATTTTCTTCGTCCCCCCTAAACTGTTTTCTAACTACGGATCGGAAACGGACCAGCTATGACCGAAATCCGTATTTTTACTTTAATAACTACGGACGCATGAATGGAACAGCTGACAAGGAAATTGGTCCCAAATGGAAAAATTGCGCATTCCACACGCATTAACAGACTATTTGTTAGATTTACTTGATTAATGTATATAATTCCATATATATGGATTGTTTCAAAATATTGATTAAACTTGCTTAATTAACTCTGGGACTATAATACTAATATCAATATATATGACCCAGCTTAACTTTGTATATCTTTTGATGAGAAACACTGAATTTCATAAACATGATAAACAAGATAGTTTTTTAATTGAATTGTGATTTATATATTATAATTTCTTTATCTTTTTGTCATAAAAAAAAAAATCTTTTTAGTGCTAGATATTTAGTTGGTAGTTTCTCACAAGAACCTAAACTTAAACAACTTTGAATTTGAACTTTTACTTTAATTGTCATGATTGTATACTCAGATATGAATTGAACAATATAAAAAGAACATTATTTACATATGACCCTTTGTACTATAGGTAGTAAAAACCAAACATTGTAGCACAGTGTGCAAAGGAGCACTTCTCCCTATCAGTTTCAAAAAGAGAAGTCACTTCTCCCTATGATTCTGAAGTAGTGTGAGCCCTGCATGATTATGCATTTAAGGATGTACATAGGTCAGGTTTTGGAATTTCTGTCAGATGTTTGGACTCTGGTTTTTTTCCTACGATACAGGGTAAAATATTTTGCCCCATGACCCCCATTTTTTTTCCATATATAATACTTCAATTAATAACTCATAAAAGGTCATATACCAAAATTTAAGCAGATTGTAGATTTCTTCTCTTTCTATTAGTTTGCTTCTTAACTTAAATGCTCTTGAAGTCTTCTGACTTATAGTATCAATTTTAAATTCTACATTTTTCTAATTTCACCAAAGTACATCCTTAAAGACTCACCTTTTTGCCTGCAACAGTCCAATTCATCATTTGATTTATTGTAATAAGTATGTGAAATTATTAATACTGAGAATTAAAAAAAAATGTCTATGGGTTCGAATTGTTTGAATAATTGCATGTCTACAGTTAAACTAAAAATATTTTCAACTAATAAGATCAAATTTGATAAAAAAAAAAAGAATTTGCCTACCTACCTACCCACACCCAGTCATCATGGGTCGGGTTTGGGCAAACTGAAATATTTTTAATTGTGGCCTCAGTGTATTCATATACAGTGTATACATATGGCATATTACAAACAATATTAACAATATGTATGTGATGTCACAAGTTTCATGATTTCAAAATATCTTTACAATAAACTGTTTAAATTTAAAAGAGAAGTGTATGTATTTTCCTAAGTTACAAAGCTGTTTTGTGTTTTCACCAGAAAATAATTCTATTAACTTAAAAGTTGATGGCCTAGACCATGTACATGTAGACCAGTAATATTTTTTGATATATTTTTTATGCAAATCAGTATATCTGCTACATTGTAGGATGAAATGAAATTCATCCTCTATCACCCTTAAATTACAAAAAATACAATTTCTTTCATTTATAATAGTACCAACATACTGTCCAGTTTCAATACAAAGGTTATGTGAAGACAAACAGATCCTAGTTATACATTTGCGATAAAGTACAGGAATGCATATATCTGTAAATAAAATTGCAAAACTACATTTGTTACTACATACTTATATAATCTACACTTTGCAGAAGAGTCTAATAAAAAATGTAACTCTTGTTTAGCTTGATCAAACAAACGCTGTCTTATTAAAGGTAAATATGCATGATATAAGCTGTCTACATTCAACAACCACTAATTATCCCACAAATTATTCATACCAAGACTATATAACAATCTTTTTACATACATGTATGTTGCCCAATTCATGCATTTTGAACCATTTAACACAAGCTCTTTATAACAAGACCGTAATATACAATTGTCACTCACTAAAATTTTGGTTCTAAAATTACGCTCATACTGCAGTGGAAATCTACCTATTCAAAGTAGACCATCACATTTGAGGTCGTTCTTTTTGACACTTAATAACATTTTACAGTAGTCCAAATGAACCTTTTCTATCATAGGAGATTTGTGTACTCCCCATATCTCACACCCATACATTAATATACTACTAACATAAGTATCAACATGATCAAACAGAATAAGCATTGTAAATTTATTTAAACATAGTGATGAAGTAGTTCTCCTCATACTGAACAAAGCTTTTCTACCTTGTTCTGCACAATGTTTCTGTGTATTAACAGTCAGGGGTACTACTTAAACAAGTGATTTCATTATCACCTATTTCAGTGATTTGATAAATTCAGTAATCACCTATTTAAGTGATTTTGGTGTTTCCTTTGATCTTCAAATGCTAATTTCATTGATTTTCCATATTTTGACGATCTTCTCTATAATTTTCCTACATAGATCAATTATCCCTTTTTCTTTGTATATTAATTTCACCAGTGCACTTGGGCAGTAAGTTAGTGCGCTAAAGCTTTTAAAAGTACCTTTCAGAATTTTTCTGTAATCAAATATTCATTAACTACTCTTACTATCAGAAAAGGTCAGCAATATTAAGTAACCTGATTGGTTTTCTTTAGAGTTAGAATGATCTACTTCAAGGTTATGTCCTGATCTACAAATTATTCCAGTTTTTGCATATTTTAAATAAACTGTAAAAACTGACAGGCTTATCAAGCAAAAGACAATTTCTGCATGCACATAGTTGTTTTTTCAATGGAATTCTTGTCTTTTTACCAATAAGTACTCCCAGTTTTAGGCTACACGTGCTGTCATAGGACCATGCCCCCTCTTTTTTTATCTGATGGCCTATGGCTTTTTTCCTTGTCAGTTTGTTCCTAAAACACATTTGCACCCTACATGTTCACACTTATTTTGATTCGAATACAAGTTGAATTTTTAGATGTATTTTCAGATGCAAATATCAAAATATTTATATTTTCATGAATAAATTTTTTTTAAATTTTTTAAAGAATTATTTTTTTGGGTGTTTAGATGATTAAATATTAAATGTTAACTATTTACGATTACTATTAATTGGTATTTACAAAATATGGTATAATTGTTATGTGTTTGAAAATCATGATTGGCGTAAAGTAAGATACAAGTAGTTAGCTTGGTATGAGTAAAAACAATGAAGATTTTGAAAAGAAAACATGAAAGATAATTGTTTTTGACTGCTTTGACGTCCCTTTAATCTCATGTCTGTTTGGACAAGTATGATGTACAAAAAGCCAAACATGGTAGAGGGTCTGAATGTTGGGTCCTTCATTTCTGTATTTAAATTTGTCTCTATTCTTTATATTTTGCACTCCATTATTCTGTACTTTTATTTTTGGCCTATTTTTCTCTATTCTTTATTAATTGGGCCCATGTTTCTGTAGTATTGGTCCACTACTCTCTATTCTGTAAACCCATCCAGACCGTCATGGTTATGCACCTAATAAACATGTGATTTGTAGCCAGGTTTTTGTTTTATTCGTTGTTGTTGTAAATGCTGTAGCAACATAATTAATGTCATTGTGACTAGTTTGATAGCCATTTGGTATCTTCCGCCTTTCTTTTACAAGTAAATACAAGACAATATTCATTATTCAGTTCGTCAAAATAATTCACAACCTGTTTTCGTTTTTAGAATTTCACTTTATTTTTAAACAATAAAAAAACTTATTTTCTTTATTTTATATCTGTGTGGTGCAAATTAAACATGAAAGGGGGAGAACATGATTTTAGGCAAAAGGATCCTGATTCTGATTTTGGTACCCTGATCTTGCCTTTTTACAACAACAATTACAATTTAACAATTTATTATAACGCATTTACATTTGTACTTACGGTTTGTCAGAAAATTTAAATTCAGCCAAAAATAATTAAGACCATTGAATGGCTTAGTTTGACAGCTTGTGTGTCAAACATACCGTAATGTAACATATATTACCTCAGTCCTATCAAAATAAATTTGTGTACATGCTTTGAATAAAAAAATAAAGTATAAGTAGAGTTAATTCCCCTGTCTTGCAATGGTTTCAACATATGGACACCCTTTTAACTCATTTTTATTGATAGAAATATAATTATATAAAGATGAATAAAAAATAATGCAATAATTAAGAATGTTCTTTACCAGTTTACACGATTTCGATTTTTGAGCACAGCCACATTACAAAAATAATATGCATTTAAAATAAATTGATATATATCTTTACTATACTTTTTATGTTTTTAAACTCATGTTGATGTTAGAAAGTTATCCTAACATATGTTGATAATAGAAAAAAATCCATCCATGACACAAAATCAATACATGCACAGCAAAGTACACACAAAAAGTAAAGGAACACCGCTTTTATTGCTGTTCTTCAGTTCAAAGTCACAAGTTTCCTACTCTCTCCTCAATGTTCAGATCGTCACTTCAATGACCTGTGAAAATAAAGTAATCAATACAGAGAGGATATAGCCAAAATAACCTGTCATTTGATATTGATGAACAGTTTTTCAACTGGTTTGGACACTGATAAAATATCAAATAAATCATCTATCAGATTATTTAACATATTTTATAGCGATCAACATTTTGCTTAAATGTACTTCGAATTCCCTTTATGTGCTTAAGTGCCCTTTTCGAGGTCAATTTATATGATTTAGTGCATAAATTTTGAATATGACAAAAGTGTCAGTGACCCAGTTCTTGCAGTTCATCCATTGAACTTTGGGCACTCTCTTCCTGTCCTCTTCAATTATTCCTTTAGCCGATAAGTAAATAAATAATGCAATGCAAATATAATATTTTATTTATTCACAGCCCAAAAATATGAAGAACATATATTTATACTTAAATCATAATATTACTATTGATTTCCTATATATGTCATTGTATGTATCTTACGGAAAATAGTATTATTATGGGAGATAACTCTTAACTCACACCCAAATGGACATGCCCACAACACAGATTTCACTGCAGGACAAAAGTCCACATGACTATACATTTTATTTCAATACTTCAGCCACTCCTTGGGTTATAAGAATGGTGTGAAATGCTGTAATGGCTGATACATAGAAATAAAGTTTAGTATGCAAATTTAAAGTTTAAGTAGCAGTATTTTCCAATGTTAAGGGTGATGGCCCAGGTAAAAAAAATGTACCATCAGCAAACTGGTATATTCATAAAAAAAAAACTTAAAAACAGGATTTTACATTTACAGAGAACTGTATGAAGTGTTCAGGAAATATGATGATGGAAATGGCAGGATACCATTGTGTCAACTCAGGAAAGCTTTCAATGAAGTACATCTGTATCCGTCAAAATCACAAAGTAAGTTAATAACATGTGATATTTTTATATTTTTTTAAGTCCAATTATGTTTTAAAAATCCACATGACATCAACATGATCAGGCATGAAAAAGAAAGAAATATGATAAATGGATATTTAAAAAAGAAAATAATATACATAATGTACATGATTTATAAATCAATGACTTTACTAAATTTGTTTTGTGCATGTCATTAAAATTCTTAAAGAGAAATTTGGTAGACACAAACTTTTTTGGTAATTAATCAATATGTAACATTGATTTCACTATTTAAGAATTCCAAACAATTGAAAGAAATGTGTAATAGGGTCAAATATGTGAGCATGCTGAAACAGTAACCAAACAACATCAAGTAACCAAAAAAACCCTCACTACATAGAGAAACCTTCTGAATGCAGCTAACTTTTAAAATGTAAAAATGTACTGTTAAATGCATTCCAAAGAAAAAAAAATCATTTATATTGTACTTTTGATATAAATTTTAAATGGCAAACAGCATCAACAATCGAAAAGGAAGATGACTTTGCTTGGCCTATAGAAGCTAAATTTTGTAGAAAAATTACTGTTATCACAACACTGAAATAAATGCTTGTCAGAAATAATAACTGATAATTAATGCAATTCCATGTTTAATATATCTATATTTTGCAGCGTATTGTCATTTTTTTGCTCTTTGCCTTTATTACATGATAGTTATTGATTTGGAAAGAGAGTCCACATTTAAAAAAAATGAACATATTTAGATCAAATGGTTTTCACCTTCAATATATATGTTTGTATGACAACCTAATACAGTTATTTCTCTCACAATTCTAGGTGCATTGCAATTTCTATAGTCAAAATATGTGTGACAAATAAAAAAAAATTGTATATTACTTTTTTTGTAGTTTTCCAACTAAAATTGTGGTCTTTGTTATCAAGAAAATTAAATAAATTATGTAAAAAATATTTTAATTTTCTGATATGATTTATAACATATATTTCTTGAATTTTACAGATCTACATTTCTATCTAGAAATTGAAAAGAATTTAAGATTTCTTCTCCCTTAGGCTTTAGACAGTTTTGGCTACTCTGTCTAGTTCCCTATTATTCATGTAGCTCCTCTGACTAGTTTCCTATCATTCACGTAGCTCCTCTATCTAGTTTCCTATTATTCACGTAGCTCCTCTGTCTAGTTCCCTATTATTCACGTAGCTCCTCTGTCAAGTTCCCTATTATTCATGTAGCTCCTCTGTCTAGTTCCCTATTATTCATGTAGCTCCTCTGTCTAGTTCCCTATTATTCACGTAGCTCCTCTGTCAAGTTCCCTATTATTCATGTAACTCCTCTGTCTAGTTCCCTATTATTCATGTAGCTCCTCTGTCTAGTTCCCTATTATTCACGTAGCTCCTCTATCTAGTTCCCTATTATTCACGTAGCTCCTCTGTCTAGTTTCCTATCATTCACGTAGCTCCTCTATCTAGTTCCCTATTATTCACTTAGCTCCTCTATCTAGTTTCCTATTATTCATGTAGCTCCTCTGTCTAGTTTCCTATCATTCACGTAGCTCCTCTTTCTAGTTCCCTATTATTCACGTAGCTCCTCTATCTAGTTCCCTATTATTCACGTAGCTCCTCTGTCTAGTTCCCTATGATTCATGTAGCTCCTCAAGTATTTATACATCCTTCAAAGACCTTGGCTTTCATATTTTTGGTTATGAGGGCACCTGATTAAGGTATAGCTCTTCAAATGCAACAAATTTACAAAGTTTTATTCTTTTAGGAATGTCAGATGTTTTGGTATTATTATTATGGTAAATAAGTGTTTTTTATAGCTAGCCATACTTTGGAGCAATACAGCCCTTGTTTCTTTATATTTATAAAAAAAAGTCCAGGTCTTTTCTCCCTTTGTATTCATCTGTCCTAGGCCTCCACCTTTTATCAATGTCAAATTTCATTGTAAATGATGTAGGACCAATAACCTACATATTTTGAATCCTTAATGCTCATTCAAAACTGTTGTTGAAAACCATAAGAAAATTTAATTAAAATATGCCAATATCATGAATATAAACAATTAAGTTTTTTATCACTTTAAACAGATTCTCTTGAATCCAGCAAGTCATATGCATACCATATGTAATTAATATATTAAAATATAATGATGTTTTTTGTATCCTTACAGTTTATGAGATGGTACAATGTGCTGTAGAATATGGCAGCCCTTGTGAACCAGACCATGTGACCTTTGGAGAATTCTGCATCCTTGTAACAGAGCTTAAAAATCATTATCATAACTGGTAAGATAATAATTACTTGGCAATATTCATTCAGAGAGGTTCAAATTAATTATTATTGAAAATGCAAAAAGGATGATACAAAAGGAGAAAGAAATTTACTGTGTTCACACATTTTGTAAGAATTATACCAGTTGTAAAAACAAATTGTTACGGTTCTAAATTGTTGACCTGTTGTAAAATACAGACTTGGCAGCTGGAGTAAAGTACAGTTTTTTGTACTTCTAAGCTCACATTTCACTCATTGAAAAAAAGTCACACTATAAATTTGCTTTGTTGAAAACAAGATGGAATATATAAGGTACATGTATATGTGTATGAACAACAGTTGGGGAAATATGAAATTACATGTACACTGCCCTTCATCCTGATCTGTATGCAAGGTCTTTAATGAGTAAAAAACTCCTACAATTTAAACAAGATACCTTAAAGGATAAAAGTTTAGATCTAATTTGCCAATGATTCTTTTAACAGATAGAATGTTTTTCTCTTTTAATGCATTGAGTATTACAATATAAAATGCTAATTTGTTAGATTTACCAGTATATACATGAACCTATCATAAAAAGTGAATACTGTCATAACATGCTATTGCTAGAATTACTATTAAGATGGTACATAACACTACAGGGAGATAACTCTGTAAAATCAGCTGAATGTTTTAATCACGTTCTATTGTTATGGAAATATTAAGCTTCTGAATGATTAATATTAGTGTTTGTTAAACTGCTATATATCCAATGAAATTTTTCCGATAAAGTGTGTGGTTCAAGTTTTTTGAAATTTTTATATTTTTGTCAAAAGGTCAAAGTAAATATTTTGTCAAAATTTAATGAAAATTAAACGAGCCAAATTAATTTTAGTCAAGGTGTTTGGTACACCTTAAAAAAAAATTTTCACTTCACAAATCTACATAGATATGCTTCTAAGATACTTCAATGCCATTATCAGAAATAGTTAACATTGGTAAACAAAACTTAAAATGTTGAAATATCACAGACAAGGAACCCTTGTTATATTTAGAGACATTTTACTTGAGAAATTTTGAAAAAAGGCAATTCTGTTTTTGTTATTTGAAACAAACCTGTCAATATGGATCAATGTGTATTGATAAACATACTTCAAAATATTCCTAGATGTGAAAGATGAATTTTTTTTTATAATGTCATGGTTAAAAACTGTATAGAATTATAATTACTGTACAAGCAGAATTTTTCCTTTTGTTTTTTTCAATTTAGATACAGAATTTTATCATAATTCTACTAGATATTGCAACTGAATAGTAATTTTATCTTTACAGTCATAATATTATTACACCAAAACCAAAGAGTTTATACAGAGAGAAAAAGACCGAATCAGACAGTATTAAATGGAAAAAGAGAGGTACAATACATTATTGAAAAACTAAATAATTATTATAAAAAATTACTTGTATTTTTACCAAATGATACAATACAGATATACCGGTATATACAATAACCAGAGAAGTTAAATTATACTTAAACATTTATATACAACAACCATTCAAATATACTTACTAGTCAAAACACATTTTAACTGATATTTGCACTATATATTTCAGTGGCTTGGTCAAGGATAGGCTATAAGGGATAATGGCCGGTCTACTAGCAGGTTTACAATGTTATAGAAATGAGTCCATATTCTCTCATTTGTATACAAGACTGGCTGTACAACCTACTCAGCAATTTCTCGTTTTGATGCTTTGCATGATTAAATAATGAAACACAAAGTTATGACATCACAATAGTAAATAACAAAATGTAATTCTGAATGTAGAAGGGGATCAACTTTTACAGTTTAAATGAAACTGCACACTCACTTGTTTGACACAAATGAGTTGTCTCCCATTTGTGTGTAACTTTTGAATATTCATTGTATAGTTTCTATCAGGAAATACTGTAAATTCAGAGATTTTTGTGGCCATTTATGAATGTATTGTTGCACAATAGACCCAAATACAAGGTTAATTAATGCAATTTTAGACAAATTTGCATACAAATAATGCAATCAAAAGGTGAGTTCTAATTTTTGTGGACCCTATCTGGTCACACTTTTCGCATTGATAAAAACATTACAAAAATTTTCTGAATTTACAGAACCTAGGAGACTCAATAAATAGACCCATTGCTCAGTTCTTTTGAAAATTGACAATCTTTAAAAAAAAAATCCATAAAAATTTGAAAAATGTACCCAAGGGGAGACTAGTCCAAGCCATTCTATGACATAAAATGTAAGATTTTTGCATTTTTTGGATTGAATTTTTGTTTCTTTTTTTTCTGACAAATCAAGTCATCTCCAATAGAGTGTTCAGTCTTGATCATAATCTGCTATATTGATTTCAGAAAACACAACACATTTCCAAGGTAACCATTGTGTTGTCATAGATACTGTAGATCTATTCTCTCACCTATTATCACCTATTATGTCACTGCACTCTTCTAATTGGTCAGAAAAACAATATCTGTATGGGAAAACATGGCAAAGGAAATTTAAGAATATATTTGTAACACATTGTGCTTTTATAACACAATGTTTTTATTTTGGAACAACCAACTTTGAAATGTGGATTTTATTTTTAATTGAATTTTCTATATAAAATGCCAGAAAACTATGAAAATATGCAGACATTGTATTTATAAATATTTTCTATAAGAATCTCACAGAAATTTTGGAAAACAGTTGAGAGTTTTTTTTACAAAAAGACAACAAAAAATCTTTTTCAAGGCATTTTTATTCTGACCAATTATTTTAATATTGTTCACATAGTCTTGGATATCAATTGAAGCTTATAATACTCCATTGCTGTGAAAGCTTTATTTTCAAATAAGAACAGTTGATATCCATCTTCCTAATGCAGATGCTTTTCAGCTATAATCTTTATATTAATCCAAAACACACTATACTGAAACAATCATTATATATAAATATTAAACAGCAATTCAGATCAAATAAGATTTTGTAGAATTATAGAATTAATAATTTGTTTGTTCAATTACATTTTGAAAGTCATTATAAAATTTGATGCTGATCTATAATTTTATATTTAAAACATTAAAAATATAAACCGAATTATATGTTTATAGGTAATAATTTATTCATAAGGTTGAATACATATAGGCTTATTATATATCCCATAGGAGTCAAGCTGTCTGTTTGTCCAGCAAAAATCCTTTATCCTCAATTCTGATCTCTTTAGATTTCGTAGAATAATAGATCTTAGTTTGGGAAACGTCATAACAAAAAGGCTCTTTTCAGAAATTTGTACTCATTTCAGAACCAACCTTGTGAACACAAATCAGCCTACATGGTTAAATGTATATTAATCAAACTTAGTAAAGTTGTTAGCTTTTATACTTCAATACAGATTCTCACTAATGTAGAATGTTCAGATCTGCTGAGTTAAGGAGAGTGTTTCCTATTTAAATTTTCCAAGTGTCATTCTAACTCTTACAAGGTTTGCTGTTATCTTCTTTGAAATTGGTGCATTGTAAGATCATACAATAAAGTTACATATTTGTAGGATGTGCCAGTTATAAAGTGTTTCTAATGTTATTTCTACCATTTTAAAAACCTGGGACCTTTACCATGGGAACTCTACTTACAAATTTTTAAGGGGTTTGCATTAAACTATGTTCAGTGTTAGAATTTTATATGTGTAGGATGTACTTATCTGTTGTCATTTCCCTTCTGGAAGATTAGGGTCAGGTACGAGCGGTAAAAGGGGGAGGCAATAAGTCACACCTTACCACACTTAAATATTTCTAATTGATAAAACATGTGAATCTCTAAACCTATATTGAAGGTTGCTGTTACTAGCATCCATACTATTAAGATTTATGAATTATTCCCCCCCCTGATCAATTCCTATATAATAGGGGAAAGGAATTGTCAAGGACTAAAATATCAAAAAATTTAAACTTCTTTACTGCAAAATCTTTGAAAATACATTATCTTAGAAAAAAAGGGGAAACAATATTTAGTTAACATACATTATTGTACAAATTAGGTGTGTGCCATATTTTGGTGTTATTGTATAGTTCATATTTTGAAGGGTTGTTCCACTTAATATATACACAGCCAAGAAAGTCACCTCTGAATCCAGATAATAATAAATGTAATTTCACCATTTATTTGGATATTTGTCCTTAAATTGAAGTTATGACAACCTCCCTTACAATGTCTCTTGTGTGTTTTTAGTTCCTCCCAAGGCTACATGTATGTTTAAATAGAACAACCCTTAGAGTATATTACTGTATCTATCTTATACTATACATATTGCTTCTGAATTATTGTATACCTCTGCAGACAGATATTCATCAGCCCATCATTTTAACAGAAAACCCTTAAAACCTTATTTTCTTGACAAACCAAATTATGCACTTCAAGTGAAATTACGACAGTGTCTATATATTGTTGCAATAAAAATAGAATTTATGAATGTACACTTGAAAGAATTAATTAGAAAGGCATGGGTTTTTTAAGACATCATTAAGGTACAGTCAGCAGTTTTAGGATTTTAATATTTGAAAACTTCATGGAATTTAACAGCACTTAGATTGAAGCTTCTTGGTTATCAAGAGAAAGCACTCAGAGTAAAATTCTGTATTTTGCTGATAAATTGACTAAGATTTTTTGGTGGTCAACATTACACTTAAACACAGGCAGCAGTAGTTGCACCCAAGACACAGGGCTCTGCAGAATCCTTTAAGGATATTTTCAATATAACAAACTCTTTTTACTTTTCCTTCTTTAGCTTAAAAGTTGAGGAATGACAAGGTTTTCAACTTATTAGTTGACCTCTCATAATGAAGTTAATCTCGCTTTTCCAAATAAGGAAGGATGTCAGCTATTCTTTAAATGAATATTGCAAATATGCTTAAAACAGGCACTGTTTTAAGTCACCAGACATACTATATATATAGCAGATAGACCCACAGCTGTAAATATCAAATGTTCCTGTAACGTCAGATTATACAATACGTTAGAGCTATTTTCCTAATGCTTGTAGATTAAGACTTTGGTTGACTTGCTTCTTTGTTTGTATAAATGTTTGCTCAAGCATTGTAATTGAGATTGACATCTGCAATCAATAGATAGGGTATAACGTATTCAAGCTGAAGCCCCGCCTATCTATTGATTGCAGATGTCAATCTTAACTACAATGCTTGAGCTAATGTTTATACAAAGCAAGCAAGCCAACCAAACATTTAAACTACAAGCATTAGGAAATTAGCTTTAATACAGTTTGACTACTTTAATTTGTTTCAGTTTTCCTTGGAGGCTCATGTAACCCTACAACATGGAGACAGGAGCTGGCTATTCCATTTCTAAAGTCACATGGCATCACATTTTATAATCCTGTAAGTAAAATATTAAGTACATGTCTGTTTAAAAAAACAATATGATTTTTCCCTTTTGGAGTATCAGAGCTTACTGCTTGTTTTAAATCACGTCATACCTTAAAGCCACAGTAGAATACTCTTGTTTTACATTTTTACACCCTTCTGGAGCACCTACTCTCTCTTTTTACATTATGTTGCCATTCCAGAGCAACTAAGATAATAACGTTCATATCTGTAGATAAGGAGATTTTTTAACACTCTGAGGTACTCCAGTACACCCTGAGGCAAAACTAAAGGGTTTACAAAGGTACTGAAGGATGTTAAAATCTTTATATCTATGGATATTAATGTAGATAAAAAAATTATCCAAAATCTTAGTCCAAATTTGTCAATTTTAGGGAAATTTAAAATGTAATGTTAAAGCAACAGTATATTTCATTTTAGAAACACTTTCATTAAAATATGAGAAAAAAAAGACATGGCAGATGCATAGAAAAGGTCACATGATACAACTTTTTCAAACTCCACTTTAAAATGGCAACAACCCTGAACTCCTGTATGATGCAAAGGCTGACAGGATTGTGATAGTCTATATTTTGACTCCACACAATTCTACAAGGCTTCCCAATAGTTCAGTCAGTTGTTTTCTCAATTCTACAACTGTTCTATGTTTTTACTCATTTGAATTGAATGAGACTTTCAATTTCCATTATTTATTTTTTCCTACAGCAGGTTCAAAACTGGAGACCAGAACTACTTGAACTTGAAGCACAAGCCAAAGAGGTAAGAATTAACAATTAACAATCTTTTTTTTTTTACCTTTAATTGTTTCAATTTTGGAAGATTTGGTGTTTTCTTTCCTTTTAACCCTGTTGGTTGTACTTTAACTTGTTCATTTTTATTAATTGTGTCTCATTGATGACAATCTTGCATCTCATTTTAAAACAGCTATTTGTATTTCATTATATTTCAGAATGCTGACATCATGTTCTTTGTTATAGACAAGGAAACAAGAGGAATATCATCTATGATTGAAGTAGGATACCTAGTCGGTATGTATAAATAAAAGGAGATGCAAGGTGAAGGTAAATAGAAAAGTAAGGGAGACAACTGAATGGCTTTTTCTTCAATGTATGAACTTCCTTTAATTAGGAACACCTCAATCAATCAATATAAAATAAAGAGATGAGGTACCAAGGCAACATTTATCCACCAAATACAAATTCAATTACATTATTATGTAGCCAAAATATTTTTTTTTAGATATTTTATGTACATAGTTAACATATCTGAACTATTCAAAGGGCATTTTTGCTCTTTGAAAATGTAACTTCAGCCAGAACAACAATTGTTTGCTTTTTGACCAGATGTTTTTGTTATTTCCAAAATATTTACATTTTCAAAGATTGATAGGTCCTGAGAATATTTTCACATTTTTTCTTTTTACAGCTAGCAAGAAACAAGTAATACTAGTGCTGACAGAGATAGAAGACAATGATACAGAATGTAAAAGAGTATTTACTGAACAGTAAGTCTTTGTATATAGGCAGTCCCAGGAGGGAGGGTAGGGGTTTGTTAGCAAGAAATTCTCTCCCATATTGCATCATTGGCAAACTACAACAAAAGTAAGTAGAAGTGCAAAGTTTTTCTTTTTTGTAGAATAGATTTTCCTTTTATAGGAAAGATTGGTTTAGAAATGTGATTATTAATGTGTAATTTAAAAGTATTTCTATAATTACATGCATAAATATCCCAGCAGGCATAAAATCAAGAAACAGCAAATTTTGTCTTTTGCATTAGTAATTGACCATTTCTGTTTGTTCACTTAAAATGACTTTGACCTTTATAGGGAAAAGTGTGATTTATGCAGAGGACGTAAGATATTAGAAGATCTGGTAGAGAGGAATTCTGTTCCAGTATTTACCGATATAGATACAGCTTTGAAATGTACAGAAATTGTCCTGAATCAGGTAAAATATTATTAATATCATCACAAGTAGGAATATTTATTTTATAGTATTATAATTTGTGTTATATTTATCTTTATATTCTCTGACCCATTTATACTCTTTGTTTTTTTTTTTATTAAACCATTGTAAAACATATCAAATTTTGTTTGATGTATTTATGCTCTCCCCTCCCCCCCAAAAAAAATTCAGATCAAAGGGTATGTGTATGTAAGCCCTCTGCTCCCAATCTGAATTTTCAAAGGTATATTGTTGTCAATGATTGTGTTGTATTTTTCAGGGTCTGAGAGTCCAAGACTTAGACTTACAGCATGGTGCTCAACCTGTAATTCATGGACATATTCCTGTTGGGGAAACACTACTGTAAGATATTTGAGACTTACCATAATTTGAAAATAATTATTTTATTCAAAAAATATGATTTCACAAAAGCAGAATTCTCCTGAAGCTTTTATTAAATATAGATAAGTAAGATTGTATATTTTGCAGGAATTGTATTTAATTTATTAAGAAATTTTGCACAAAATGTTCCAGATATATGTACTCTTTGACACATTCCCCATTTCCATTCTCTATTCTACATATAAACTACATATATGTATTTAGGTAAAAAGTTCTCAGACATTTAGTTTTAGCTTACGTTACTTTTAACAATGTTACCAACTACTGAAAATATTGAAATTTACTGCAATTGATGGAACAAGCAAGCGAACTAATGATGATGTTAAAATAATAAGGGTTATAGAATATATATTTCGTATTTGTATTTTTTCATTGCTTTGTACATAAATCAGGCTTTTAGTCTTCTTGTTTTACATTTGTCATTTCGGGGCCTTTTATAGCTTGCTATGCAGTACAGGGTCGCTTAGTGTTGAAAGCTGTATGGTGACCTATAGTTGTTAACTTCTACATAATTTGGACTCTGGTGGAGTGTTGTCTCATTGGCAATCATACCACATTTTCTTATTTTTGTATGGATTAGGCAGCAACATAACAACATAGAAAAGACAACATGTGCATTCTTGATATGTTGTTATTATGCTGTTAAAATATTAAACTTAATTTTGTAAAATTTATGGGGAACTAATTTGCATGCTCAGTGAAATTCAAATTTTCTTTTGCTTTCTTAGGGGCACATGCAAAAACAATATATTGTATAGACTTCAAATTATAATTTTTTTTTCAACCTCAAAATAATCTTAAAATTATTTCCCCTTTATTGGAAATAATTATAAAAGAACCCTTTAGGATCTGAAATGGCAATTTGCAATTTCACTATCTGAAATGCAAGTAAATATACTGTAAATTCAGAAATTATTGCAATGCGATTAATGCGACTCGGTGAGTATCGCAATAATAAGAACTCATGTTCTGATATCTGATACATATATCTGTATACAGATTTTCCCGAAATCACAATAATCAATCTCACATTTTTGCCCATTTTTCAAAAATCGCAATAATAAATGCCAGCAATAATTTCTGAATTTACAGTAATTGTTTTTCAGACAAATGAGAGAAGCCTTTAACTCCATGGACAGTGCTAGTTTTACTACAGTAGATGATCAACAACTGACTCCTCAAGAAGTATGCTTTAGATTAGTATTAAGTGCCAGTCTTTGTAAGAATCAGACAATTCAGAAGAATTTCAAAACATGACTGAAAAAAACCCACCGACCTAACCATCCTATTTTGAAGTTACCTTCGTCTTGAGTTAGATAAGTCTTTCATTTCTGTGTGTCTGGTAATTCAAAAAATTGCAATACATTTTTGTTAGAATAAATAACAAATTACAGAGTTAGCTCTCCTTATTTGGTAATTTCTAGTGCATTTCAACCAAATTATATCTTGAAATACCAGAACAGGAAAAGGAAACGAATATTATATTTGTGCAGCATTATACATTTTAAACTTAGATTACTGTAAACTTGAGGGGGTTGTTGTTTGTCATGTTTTCACTGCCTGATTCTTAAGCAGATTGGGACTTAATTGTGAACTTTCAACTTCATCACAGTTCAGACAAGGAATAGTATTTATCTCAGTGTGAATTTTGTCTTGCCTTTGACAAATGTAAATAAATATGAAACATGGGTATGTTTGCTCTTTGTAATACTATAAAGATTCAAATATCAGAAGGTAGAAAGAGCTGTATATTCCATATCTGTTATATAGATGACTTATGGTCTGAGGTTGGGTCTGGCATATGTCTGTTGTCCTTGTTCGTGTTTCAATGACCACTTAAAAAAACTTGTTATCATTTGACTTTTAATAATAATCATGAGTAGTTACTAGTAGGACAAGTACTATCTGAAACATGCATGGAAAATTAGATCATGTATTGTGAATTAGTTGTACCTTTATTACATTATGTATTGTTCTCTGCTATCTGTCGTTTTGTCATACTGTATATACTTGTCTATTTATTGCCATAGCATGTTGTTTATGCTTTTGCAAATAAAATATTCATTCATTCATTCATTCAAATATATTTGATATATAGATTCTTTGAAGGTATACATGTTTGTCAGATAAGGTCCATTAGACCAAATCTGGCTTTGACCTCATTTCATTGTTCAGTGATCAACTATTAAGTTTTTGTGATAAGGTCCCTTTCTCAGATAATATGATTAGCAGGTCGACTGTATTTGGTTTATAGATTGATTTTGAAGTTTTGTTAATTGTAAAAATAAGAAGATGTGGTATGATTGCTAATGAGACAACTCTCCTCAAGAGACAAAATGACACAGAAATTTACAACAATAAGTCACTATATGGCCTTCAACAGTGAGCAAAGCCCATACTGCATAGTTAGCTATAAAAGGCCAGAAATTTGTTAAACAATTCAAACGAAAAAACTGACGGCCTAATTTATGTACAAAATAATGAATGAAAAACAAATATGTTACACAACAACAAATGACAACCACTGAACTACAGGCTCCTGACTTGGGACAGGCACATACAGAATGTGGTGGGGTTAAACTAGTTTGAAGGCGCCAACCCTCCCCCTAACCTGGGACAGTGATGTAACAGTACAACATAAGAACGAACTATAAAAATCAGTTGAAAAAGGCTTAACTGATCAGATGGATACAAATAGAAATACATCTAACAAAATTACAGAGTGGACTGGCAGGGTACTTATACATCCCCACAACAAAAAGACACTAAGTAGATCTGAGAGTACTCACAGTTACTGACAGCTAGTTCAAAGCCAATAACTAATAAAAAAAATCATGCATCTAAGACTAAAATATCAATCAGTACACATCCAACATCAAATAAGGGCCTCGGTGGCCGAGTGGTCTAAGTAGTCCAACTACTGTATCACTAGCCAGTCAACACTGAGGTTGTGAGTTCGAATCCCGCGCGGGGCAGTTGCACATGACTCCAATCTTAATTGACTAGGACTGTCAATTTTCCTACAGAAGGTCGGTGGCACTTCTGCTTCCTCCACCAATAAAAACTGACCACCACGAAATAGCACAATAGTGTTGAAAGTGGCATTAAACACCAATCAATCAATGAATCAATCCAACATCAAATGGATTTAGTGTAAAGACGTCATTAACAGTCAGAGAAAAACATGACCTTGTGCAATGCCGCGATATATGTATAAAAAAATAGTATTTAGTTTGATTTTAATTTACTGATAACAAAATCAATATTAATACCAATAAAAACAATATTCAAAAATTTTATTACAGTGTTGAATTGGTAAATTTTTTAGAATAAGTTTATTTAAAGGATTGATAAGTTTACCAGGATTGTTTCTAAATTTCCAGGCTCAGTAAACAACATCTCCGTAAAAATTAGGATGTGCTGTCCCGTTTGAAATAAGTTTTTTACAGGTTCAACCAAACTTCAAAACCAAATCTTTATATCTATGGAAGAATTTAGTAAAGGTTTTAAGTAATTTGTGATAACGAAATCCATGACTTAATAATTGTGTCTGTATCTCAAATACTATTTGTAAAAGGTCTTCTATTTTTTTGTGTACATAATAATTGTAAGAGTGTACATGTCCATTTGACAGGGTTCATCTGACCTTGACCTCAATTTCATTGTTGATTGGTCAACATTAATGTTTAGTGGTAGGGTCCATTTCTCTGATACTGTAAGTAATAGGTCAATTATATTAGGTGTATAAAATGATAGTTACGTATTGATTGATAAATTTCCAACAATCCATATAAATAAATGATTGTTTTGTACAAACTTATATTATGGTCATTGTTAGGCCTTTTTATACTCTATATTTGGATCGTATCAGAATTGTACATTAATCAATGAAAAAAAGAGGGGAAAATAAAATTAGGTGATTAATTTTATATAAGATCATAATAATATAATGTATCATACACACACACAGTTTTCATTTTTTTTTTTCAGTTAAAGCTGGCTTATAAAAGTTGTACAGGAAAAGATCTGGATAGTAAATGGTTAAAGAAAAAAGACAAACATTCTAAATATTACTTTGAGGAGTTCTGTTGTATAATGGTAGAAAGTCAAGTTCAGGTACATAATTAAAGTTAAGTGATTGGATGTATGCCAATGAAACAGCAGCATATCAAAAACAAAAAAGTCTGCAAAAGAATAATAAGACATTTTTACCAACAAAACAGAGAGGGGAATCTATTTCTACATTGTTGTCTGTTTAATGGAAAAGGAGGGAATTTATGTTTTAATTCCTTATTCAGGGACCAATAGTTCAGACATCATTGAAATAAAAAGACAACCCTAAGCAATGGTGTGGTCTGAAGTCTTCACTACCTGTTCATTGAGGACTGACACTTTTTTTTTAGTGTTTGGGGTGGGAGAGGGTAATTTCAACAAATTACAGGCTATAAACGAGAATCAAAAGATACCATAGGGATATTCAAACTCATAAGTCGAAAACAAACTAACAAATAACAATGCTATGGCAAAAAACAAATTAACGACATAAGGGCAAACAACAGTACACAAAACACAACATAACAACATAGAAAACTAAAGACTGAGCAACATAATATGGGAATTACTGTCATAACTTACCCTATGTCATTGTGAAGTACAGGAATAGTACAAGAGTGAGAGTGTGTAAATAATGTTTTATACTACATTTGCGTTTTAACATTGGTAGTTATGAGTTTTATAGAAATAAGGGAGGTAATTAGCTGCCCAAAAGTAGACTTCTTGATGTGTTTTCTCTGTAACAATGACACATATGTTATATTACAGACAGGTACTGTACAGAAGAAGATAACAAGTTTTATATCCACTATACTTGGCAGTAAGTGCTACATATTTTTGGACACACGTAGTAGTCTTCATGTTTGTTTGTATACATGTGTTTTGCAATATTTCAAGACAATTTAGTAAATGGACGAATGAAATTTATAAAGTGTTGTTTCCGTTTTTGTCGAGCCTGCGACTTCTGTCACAGAAAGCTCGACATAGTGATAGTGATCCGGCGGCGGCGCTAATAAACTTCTTAAAAGTTTAATATTTAAGAAGGTAGAAGACCTGGATCCTTCATACTTTGTATATAGATGCATATGTCCATTGTCCTTGACCTCACTTTCATGGTTCAATGACTACTTGAAAAAAAAGTTAAAATTTTTAGTATTCTTATTTTCTCTCTTATTATGAGTAAAAGGATAATTATATTTGGTATGTGCGTACCTTGCAAGGTTCTCATGCTCGTCAGACAGTTTTCACTTGACATCGACCTCATTTCATGGATCAGTGAACAAGGTTAAGTTTTCATGGTCAAGTCCATATCTCAGATACTATAAGCAATAGGTCTAATATATTTGGTCTTTGGAACGATTGTAAGGTGTACATGTCCAACTGGCAGGTGTCATCTGACCTTGACCTCATTTTCATGGTTCAGTGGTTAAAGTTAAGTTTTTGTGTTTTGGTCTGTTTTTCAAATACTGTATGCAATAGGTCAACTATATTTGGTGTATGAAAATATTTTACGATGTACATGTCAGTCTAGAATGTTTATTTGACCTTGACCTCATTTTTAAGGTTCATTGCTCAATGTTAAGTTTTTGTTTTTATGCCCCACCTATGATAGTAGTAGGGGCATTATGTTTTCTGGTCTGTGCGTCCATTCGTCCGTCTGTCCGTCCGTCTGTCCCGCTTCAGGTTAAAGTTTTTGGTCAAAGTAGTTTTTGATGAAGTTGAAGTCCAATCAACTTGAAACTTAGTACACATCACTACAAAAGTCTAAAAGTCTGAAAAGACCAGTTTTTGTCTGAATTTGCATGAAGTTTTACTCGACATTCTCCAAAAGTATGACTTGTGTCTTCATTTTTCTTGACAAATTCTCATTTATATTAAATTTGTATGAAATTTACTCGACATATTCTCGACATTCTGAATATGGTCTTAAAATTTCTTGACAAATTCTTGACATTTGAATACTGTCTTGAAATTTCTCGACATATTCTCAACATTCTTATTTTTTCTCAGTATGGCTTTACATATTCTGAACATTTTGAATCGTGTCTTAAATTTACTTGACAGTTCTGAGTTTTACAAATCATGACCAATATTCATGATATAACTTTAATCTTTATTTCTCTTTATATGATATACTGTTGTTTCAAGTTACACTTCTTTACAACAAAAATAAAAGTTGGGCATGTAAAATAATTGAAAATTTGGGTATATAAATATTTTTACAAATGCAAATATGGCTATGAAATCTAAAGTATAAAATAATTCAAATGTGGGTGTGTTGATATAAAACAATTTCAATGTGGGTTTTTAAATAATTACAAATTTTGATTCCTAAATCTTATAAATTAAATGATTCAAACCAATCATACTGTAGACATATTTCATTCTACATTCATAATATTCAATGTTGATATGGTAAATAATTATTATACCAAAATGTGGTTTATATAAATAGCAAATTATGATATACAAATCATTCATTTAACAGAAGAAAAATTTGTGTAATGTCATCTGTTGGAATATATTAAGTATTACACATGGACAGGATGTTCCCCATAAAATTAAGGTATTCCACACACCAGAGTACACGCAACTGTCAAATAGAAGTTATTGCTTTACCTGTAATCAGCCATACAACTTATCAGTTGACCGACCATGCCACTACAATTTAAAAAGTTTGTTGATAGATGAAAATGAAAATCATCATTTTGATGAAAAAAAATTGAATTGAAATGGATTTTCTTCATCAAAATTATGAAGTTAATTATTTTAACATAAAAACAAATTGAATAATTCCCAAAGATTAAAAGAAAATTATTATCTACTCCAGGAATAATAAAAAAAAATGTATTTATAATGGGTCCCATCAATGATTTCTATAGAAATCATCAGTCTTATGAAATGGTTCTCAAACAGACATGCATAATATAGATCTAAACATTTTTTTCTTTTCAGGAAGGAGTTATCACAAATATTTATTTTTGATAAAAAATTATAAAAATCAACACTCAAATTTGAATAAAAAATGTTTTTGGGTTGTTCTAAAAAATGAATAAAGTTTTTGAATCAAGATGGGAACAAATTCTTTGACCTAAACGAAAGCCCCCCCTCTTTTTTTAGCCACACAAACCCAAAAGATGAATTGTGGGGTCCAAAAGAGATACAAGACACCTATTTTAGTAAAGCAAATTTGACTGGCAGTTTTGCGAACGGCAAAAAACTAAATGCTGTTTGTCAATACCTTCGACTTATATTCCAAGTGAAAACAATTACTTAAATGTTTAATAAAAATAAATCAAAATTAAACTACATGGGGGATTATTCAGGGTATTCCAACTTAGTTGCACCAAAAGGGTATCTTACTATACCAAATTAATCCTTGATCCTTCAAAGTTTAGTTTAGCCATAATAAAAAGGAGTATATAACAGCAATAGAATGTCATAAACAGTGCAGAATAAGTCTGTTCACATTTCAGGCGAAATTTATACTGTTGAGATAGTGTCAAGACATATTTAAGACTGTCAAGAATGTGTCGAGACATATTCAGACATTATTAAGAATGTCAAGAATATGTCAAGACAGATCGAGACAAATTTAGGACAGTCAAGAATTGGTCGAGACTAATCCAGACTCTTATCAGATGATACAGGAAGTGTCGAGAAATTTTAAGACAATGTTCATACTGTCAAGACACTTGTCATGCTTGTCAAGAGAAATCAAGAACCTTATTAGACAAATTCATACTATGTCAAGAATTTTTAAAAATTATTGAGACAAATTAAGAATGTCGAGTAAAAATTAATGCAAATTCAGACAAAAACTGGTCTTTTCAGACTTTTTGACTTTTGAAGTGCATGTTCCCTATGATATGATCTTTCTAATTGTAATGCCAAATTAGAGTTTTTACCCCAATTTCACGGTCCACTGAACATAGAAAATGAAAGTGCGAGTGGGGCGACCATGTACTATGGACATATTCTTGTTTTATCTGTTTTTCTAATACTATGAGCAATAGGTCAACTATATTTGGTGTATGGAATGATTGGAAGGTGTATATGTCTGTCTGGCAATTATCTGACCATGACCTCATTTTCATGGTTCATTGCAATTTGTCAATCTTAAGTTTTCCTGGTTAAGTTTGTTTCTTAGATACGATATGCAATAGGTCAACTGTGTACATGTCTGTCTGGCAGGGTTCATCTTACCTTGACCTCATTTTCATGGTTCATTGATAAATGTTAAGTTTTCCTGGTTAAGTTTGTTTCTTAGATGTGCAATAGGTCAACTATATTTAAAGCATATTTGGAATGATTGTAAGGTGTACATGTATTTTCCAGTTTGGTTTATCTGACCTTGACTTCATTTTCTTGGATCATGTTAAGTTTATGTGATAGTTGTAGTAAAGCTTTATATTTAGGACTATCAATTAGTAAAGAAGGCAAGTCATTTCAGCGTGTGCACTCTGGTTTAATTGTAAATTAATCCAACAATATAAAAGGAAAAGTTAATTCAAAAATATCATATATATAATTTATCATTTAGGAAGAGCAGAGTTCTTTGGTTTAATGGTTTAAATTTGAAGAAAAAAAATAATAATTAAGATACATTAAATATTTCCTGAAGTATGTACATTGCTGTTTATTGTTACTTATATTTGACAGAATTCTCTGGCCATTCAAGCTGTTCCATGCCTTGTCATTCAGAGAAAGACTTCAGGGATGTGTATTTAGGGGGCAGCTGTGGGGACTCTAACTGGAGAGATAAGATTGCTATACCAATTCTCAGGTAAGGCCATGATAAAAAAATATCCTAGATTCTCATCACTAGAAAACTTGCAAAAAATTAAAAACAAGGTAAATAAAATTGAGAATGGAAACGGGGAATGAGTCAAAGAGACAACAACCTGACCAAAGAGCAGAAAACAGCCCAAGGCCACCAAAGGGTCTTCAACACAAGGACCTTTTTCTGTAAAATAAAAATAATTTGATATCTTCATGAGTACACATTTGAAAGGCATCATTTCAGAACAGCAAATAGAGATCTTGAAATTAAGTTGAGTGAATTAATCACCAAACTCTTTTTTATATCTAGTATTAAGATTGTCATGTTAAGGTTATTACCTCAGGAATCATGACATTAAAAAAGACTTGTAGGAGGTATAGGGGAGGGTTGAGATTTTACAAAACATGTTTAACCCCGCCGCATTTTTGCGCCTGTCCCAAGTTAGGAGCCTCTGGCCTTTGTTAGTCTTGTATGTTTTTTAATTTTAGTTCATTTATATGTTTTGGAGTTTAGTTGACGTCCATTTTCACTGAACTTGTACACATTTTTGTTTAGGGGCCAGCTGAAGCCTGCCTCCAGGTGTGGGATTTTCTCGCTGTGTTGAAGACCCATTGGTGGTCTTAGCCTGTTTTCTGCTCTTTGGTCGGGTTTTTGTCTCTTTGACACATTCCCCATTTCCATTCTCAATTTTATTGTAGTTTAAAAAAGATCAAAAAGATACCAAGAGTAACCAATGGTAAATAATAATTCACAAGTTGAGGAAAGATAGACAATACATTGTACTACAGTAAAATAGAGAAGATAAAAAGATAGACAGCAGTAACCATGTCATACAAATCCATATCTCAGAAACTGAAAGAGATTTGATTACGTAATTTTGCATAGTTATATGCTTCAGTTGTTAGATCATTTGAGCTTGGAATTTTGGACACCTTATTTTTAAATACCAAAGCAGTTTGGATCTGCAACAGTGATTGACCATACAATTTGAAATAATCCTACTAATATTAGCTGGTTTAATTTAACCATTGGGGAGAAGGGCAAACCTAGTAATTGTTTATTATCAATTTTTTTTAAATTTTAGGAAAAATGGGATATCCTATGTCAACCCATTTATATCAGGGTATAACCAGAAACTGATACCAATACAAGTGCAAGCTAGAGAGAAATGTAGACTCTTACTTTATGTGATAACAGATAGGACCAGGTCACTGTCTTCAATGATAGAGGTTTGTACATATGAAATACCATACCATATCCTGAGCCTGAGGACCCTGTTTAGGCCTTATATGGATTCAGAGTTAAGGTTAGATAACATATCAGATACATGTATATGTATACTATAAATTCAGAAATTTTTGCTAAATTGCAACATTATATAATTTCGCAAGAATTAAACAAAAATTTTGTATGCAGCATTTCTTGAAACCCAAAAAATTTAAATCACAATTTTTTAAAAATTGCAATAATAAATGCATGCAAAAATATCTGAATTTACAGTACAAAACATCAATCAGAGTTTCAGCTATGAGAATTTGATCTTATAACTTCCCGCCAGGAAACATTATCTACCTGTTTTTAAAAATATGAAAAATGTCACCTTCAGTATACTAATTGCTAAATGCAGATTGTATAAAGTATCTGCATTTCAATGGAACTTATACAAGATTGTCAGTTCTTATTTAGATGTTGGATCTTTAAGAGAGTTGATTTATTTTGGATAAATTGATAAATTAATACTTGGTAACAATCATTCCTACTACAGGTGACCATAGATGACACGAAGCAATCATTTCCTTTTTATACGACCGCAAAAAAATTTTGAGGTCGTATATTGGTATGACGTTGGCGTCGTCGTCGTCGTCGTCGTCGTTGTCGTCGTCGTCTGGCGTCGTCGTCCGAATACATAATGGTTTTCGCACTCTAACTTTAGTTTAAGTGAATGGATCTCTATGAAATTTTACCATAAGGTTCAATACCACAATAGGAAGGTGGGGATTGATTTTAGGGGTTATGGTACCAACAGTTAAGGAATTAGGGGCCAAAAAGGGGCCGAAAATAAGCATTTTTGTAACTTCCAGACATAACTTGTGTGTTAGCATATGGATCTCTTTGACATTGTACCACAAGATTCCATATCACAAAGGGTCAATGCTGGGATTGATTTTGGGGTTAATTGCCTCAAAATTTTAGGAATAAGGGGCCAAAAGGGGGCAAAAAACAAGCATTTTTCTAGTTTCATGACAATAACTTGTGTGTAAGTGTATGGATCTTTCTGAAATTTTACTACAAGGTTCCATTTCACAAAGGGAAAGCTGGAATTGAGTGTTGTGGTAATTGCCCAAAACGTTTAGTAATAAGGGGCCTAAAAAGGGGTTTAAAATAAGCATTTTTTAGTTTCTAGACAATAACTTGTGTTCAAGTGTATGGATCTCTCTAAAATTGTATTACAAGGTACCATACCACAAAGGCAAGGCTGTTATTGAGCTTGGTTTGGGGGGAAAGGGGGGTGGGGGTGATGAATCATAAGGGGGGCGGGGGTCAAAAAAGGGGTAATTTTTTTTTTTCCTTTTTTTTTTGTTTAAAATTTACATTTTAAGTTAGTTATTTTTTATCACGAAGAGAAAGTAGGAATTGAGTTTTGGGGTTAATTGCTCAAACATTTATGAATAAGGGGCCAAATATTGGTCGAAAATAAGGATTTTTTTAGTTTGCAACAAAAACTTGTGTTCAAGTGTATGGATCTCTGTGGAATTGTATTGCAATGTACCATACCACAAATTGAAGGTTGTGATTGAGGTGGGGGATGATGAATCAAAAGGGGGTTGAAAAAATGTGTGGGGGGTAGGATTTTATTTTTTTCCTTTTTTTTTCTTTAAAATTTTCCATTTCAAGATGGTTGTTTCAGATTTATATATGAAAGAAAATAATAATGATACGGTTATATATCATGAGGAATTGAAATTTAAAATTATGTATATTGGAAATTTAGGTTACATTGGAAAGTAATAATTGGCTTTGGGGGGGGGGGGGGGGGGGGGGGTGTGGTGGTGGTTATGGCTCTAATGTTTAAGGAATAAGGGGAAAAAAGGTTAAAAAACAAGGGTTTCCATTTTAATAGACAAATAATTGAGTAAAGAACATTATTTAAAAGCAGTGTAAGGTTGGTAATTCAAACTCATTTAAATATCTCATCTACACTGCTTTTAAATTATGTAAATTGGAAATTTGCCAATAACTTTATTGTTAATAAATGCATTGGAAATTTGCCAACAATTTTAGTGTAATAAACTTCATTGGAAATTTGCCAATATAAAATTTTGCTGATGAAGGTTTTTTGTTTACCTTTAGCCTTGACTATGAAGTCATTTTCTATTTTTATAGCCTTATGATGTAGTTGAATTATTTAATACTTTTATGATGTGTTTAAATGGGGTTTTATCATGTTTATGGTTGCAAATTTATTGTTTTAGTATAATAAACTCCATTTAAAATTTGCCAATAAAAAAAATTTTTGTTTATTTTTAGCTATGATTATGATGTCATTTTCTATTTTACTTTTATGGTTGCAAAGAAATTTTTATTTTTAGATATTACTGTTAAATGATGCTGATTAAGGTTTTTGCTATGTTTAGCCATGACTATGATGTCATTTTCTATTTTAATATCTGTTATGATGTATTTAAATGGGCTTTTATGGTTACAAAGGAATTTTATTTTTAGATATTACTATAAAATGTTGCTGATGCTGATTAAGGATTTTGTTTATTTTTAGCCATGACTATGATGTCATTTTCTATTTTAATACCTTTATGATGTAATTTCCATTTTTAGATATTACTGTTAAATGATGCTGATTAAGGGTTTTTTGCTATGTTTAGCCATGACTATGATGTCATTTTCTATTTTAATATCTTTATGATGTATTTAAATGGGCTTTTATGGTTACAAAGGAATTTTATTTTTAGATATTACTTTAAATGTTGCTGATTAAGGATTTTTGTTTATTTTTAGCCATGACTATGATGTCACTTTCTATTTTAATACCTTTATGATGTATTTAAATGGGCTCCCATGTATTTAGATTTTTTATTATTTATACATGTTACCAAATTGGTCCACATTGAACAAAAACGGTCCAAATTTCAACTTTATTACATTACATCAAACATTGAATTCTACATATTCTTTGATATATTGAAATTAACAAACAATTTAGTTTATGGATATTCCACCATAATAGGTAAATTAAATTTTTTCCAGTTCTTACACCACATTCATCCTGTGTCAGAAACCTATGCTGTGTCAAATATTTAATGACAATCCAAAGTCATAGCTGTATCAAGCTTGAATTTTGTGTCCATACTTGCCCCAACTGTTCAGGGTTCGACCTCTGCGGTCGTATCAAGCTGCGCCCCAGCGAAGCATTTTATTTCTATAAAAGCCTGGATTAAATTCCTATCACATATTTTTCCAGTATAGCTATGATGCAATGTTTCAGTTCTTAATATTTTTGTTTGTTTCTCTGTCAGGCTGGTTACTATGTTGGATTAGGATGTAAAGTTATACTATGTATACAGCAGATTAAGGAGGGGGCACTGATAGGAGGAGAAAAGGTATGGTATAATATGAACTAGTTCATTACTTAAAGTAAGCTTTATTCTCATTTTTATTCAAAATTGACAGCTATTTTTGAAGATATTTCAACTAAATTTATTAAATTGCGTTGTGTGATCAGGTTCAAAAGGGAAGAATAAAAACGCTGATGAGACGAAGACAGATGAATGATTGATATGACAATGTTCATTGAGTAATTTCTTTACAATGTGTTTTTTACTAAGCTGAATGTTCAAATCTTTTTGCACTTCTCTCTAAATTTACATAACATGTGAAAAAAAGAACTTTTGGATATATTGATCACAGTATAATACATGTGCAAGATAAAGTTTAAGATGAGTCACCAATGATAAGTGGAGGATATTTGGTATGTAGCTGTATTTGCATGGAGTTAATATTGCCCTGCCCCTCAGATGTGGTTCATTGACTTTGAAATTTTTTTTGTATTTTACATGTTAAAATTGTGATTAGGTCTGTTTAAGGGGAACCCTTAAGTGAAATAATATTTAGTATGCATGCAGTTGTATTAGTATTGGCATATATTATTTCCATGGATATTAGTTGGCCCTGCACCTTCAGTCATGGCTCATTGGTATGAATACTTTACATGGTAATATATTGCTATTTTAATTTCAAAATTTGCATTTTATTATCAAAATTACGTTTTTAGATCTTTAAAGATACAATGCAGACCTTTTAAATTCTAAAAGTAAATGTTATCAATGTGAATATGTTCTTTTAAAAAAAGTATCTCTTAAAATTTCTATTGTATTGCTACTTGGACAAAGTCTTTGGTGTTCATCTTAAAGGAAGTTATTACACAGAAGAAGAAAAATCAAAATCAACAGTTACATACAAAAAAAAGTGAAATATTTTAAGGAAAACATGAAACAACTGAAAATTAATTTTATATTAAATTGAATGTTCTTTGAAAAAGAATCATATACAGTGCATAACATTACAAATAGCTGAAAACTATATTAATAAGAAGATAAAATGATAAAAAGACAAATCTAAAGGAACTTTACTGATATACATATATATTAATAGTCTAAATTGTTAAAAAATTAACTAAATTCTTTGGGATGCAATCATATTAAAATTGGAGCACATAGTTTCATGTATATTTATATGTTAAAATTTCAGACCCTTGTTTCATCTAAATAAAATCAATTTTCTTGCTTCATTTTTTCTCGAATTAATTATTGCTGATAGATAAAAGTTTCAGATGGAGTCACAGTACTCTGTATTCATCAATATCGGTTTTAGTTTTTTAGCGGAGTCAATTGTTGGTTGGTTTGTTCTGTTGTATTATCTGATATTTTTGGGTAAGGGATCTACCATTTGATATTTATGGGGGGGCTAGGATGAAAAATGTTGGCCTGCATTTTTTTTTTTATTTGTAATCTCTGTCCTGCCTTTTTATTTTTCACTCTATTCGGTCCTGCCTTTTTATTTTTCACTCTATTCAGTCCTGCCTTATTTTTTTTAGTTTATCCTGACTTTTTTTTTACATAAATTGTCATCCTGCCTTTTTTTTTTTGCAAAGTGTCTCATCCTGCCTTTTTTTTTACTCAAAACAACTGTCCTGCCTATTTTTTTCAAATTTCATCCTAGCCCCCCCCCCATAAAAATCTAACTCCTGTTATCCTTTTTATCCTTTATTAAAAACATCATTAAAATACAATTATGGCCCTTATCTAAAAATTTGGTATCCAAAATTATTAAAATAAGAACAAGTTATTTTCCTTAGGTCTGCAAGACCAAGGAAAGATAAACTTTTCAAGATTTTAACTTTGGATTAAGGACATAATTGCATTATTTTACTGAACTATGTATGGTTTAAAAGTGTTTTTGTTGTAGAATATTTTCTATGTCTTAATCTGAACTGCAACTTTATCTTGTGGCCACCACTATTTTCACAAGACAACGAATGAAAATATATTTGTTCAACATGCAACAACATGCATCATTTACTAGTAAAAGGGTTATTTTTGCTATGCTCATAATTCAAAACAGTTATCTTACATATGCAAAGGAGTAGGGTCATTAAGACCCCATTTTGGCCCCAAAATATAATATATTTACAAAGTTGTTGAAAATGTAAACATTTAGCTATTTATTGGAATGTAAAATACTTTTGTTACATATAAATATCGGCAGCTTTTGACAATACAATGGAAATGCATCAGGTACTAGCATCGTTATATCATGCAAAAATACTGAATTCTTCACAATTTTAGCATTTGTGCTAATTTTAAGACAATTTTTTCTAAAATTAAAATGCCCACACTTGTGTTCAGTCTTAATATTTAAATATATGTTGTATTTGATAATAATACATAACATATATAAAAGTTGAGACTGAACACGAATGCGGCCACTATCATTTTAGACAAAAACCATCTGAAAAATGACGTTTTGTGGCATATTTGATAGATTTTTCATATCTAAGCTTGAATTTGAGCGTCTTTAATAACCAAATCAGTCCAAAGCTTTAACATAAACTAATTGAATTAACTATAGTAGACACTTAAGTGTTTAAAAAATGTCAAAAATCTTTCATCAGTTGTACTTTGAATTTTAGGCCGAAATTAGCCCTTACCAGACCTTCTCCTTTGTCATGGAGAAAAAGATTTCTTTTGACAGAAAGAAAATCATGCTTTACCTTTAATTGCTCGAGTTACTATACCTTTTTTTATTCTCAGATTTCTGAATGTGGAATGAAAGACTATGCTCGAGGACGTGCATACTTAGCAGATTTAGCCAACAGAGAAGGAGTACATATATTTGAAGACATTATAGAAACTGTAATGTATTGTGTTAGTTATCTACAAGAAATGTCTGTAGACACTGGATATTGAAACTCATAGATTAAGTCCATAGGACTGTGCAATTATCTGTGCTTGACCAGGTCAGGATCATCACACCAAACACATGGCTGCAGTGTTCTAGTCATTTGTTATGACTGTCTCCAAGTATGTGCCAGAAGTGGTGATAAAGGAATATTCAGGAGTTGTTATTATAATCAGGTTGTGTTTATTGACAGTAACAATATATAATTCAGGAATTATCAGCTTTAAAAAAATATGTCTCTCTGAAAATACCAAAGCTAGCTATAGTTGAAGTCAGGGTTCTACATGTATCCATTTTGTAATATCATTGAATGATTATTTAAGTGGCTTTATAGCATTATTAGGCATAAAGTTTATATGAAAGTAGGCTGGCTTAAATCAAAATTTAGTGATTGTGTTCATGTTTATGTCTAATGTGTTTAAGAATATTGTGCGTAACTTTATTTATACATTTCTATGTTAGTGAAAAAGAATAAAAGGTAATTATTACAGTGTCCTAGACAGCAGCTCCCCTCTTCCTTTTCTGTACTGCCTTCTGCTTACAGTTCTCCCTTATGTAATTTTGTTCTCTGAAGGAAAATGTATGCTTATCAATACAAAGAAAATCATTTAAACTTCTGGAAAAGCTTTTTACAATCAAAAGATGCCATAAATCAAAATAAAAAGCCATAAGTTTATTTAATTATTCATGTCTTTTATAGATAAACATGATAACTTGTCCCTTTTGAAGTTTTTTTACAAGAAACCTCCCTAACATGCGCTTCATCTTAAACTATGACCCTCTGACCTGAAATCCTAGCTATCATAACCCACTCTAGGAGTGGGAGCTACTTTCAATTTTAACCTTGTCCATCTGTCTGTTCTTTTGTCTCTCTGTTAGTCCAACAAATATGTCCATCAATTTTTTCTCAGGTACTTCTGAACTGAATGACTTCATTGTAAGTCAGTAATTTGACAATGATGATTTATGATAGCTCTTTTGATATCTGTTGAACACCAACTTACTGTTTGCTTATACTGTGAAATTTGCAATATGTTGAATCTTAACATTTACTATCACATATTTCGGCAGTACAACGGATCAAAATGACTTCATGTTTGGTCAGCAGCTTAGAAGTGATGAGTTGTACCACATGAGCTTTTTCAGATCTATCAGAGTTGTATATACTAATATTCGTGGATTTCGTGTAAAGGTAAACAATGAATTTAAAGTTCAATGAAGGTGAAATTCTCTACGAGGTTGTATGCAGACTTTGACAAAATCTTAAAATCAAATATTCATGAAAATACAAGTTTTCCTCAACCAAAGAAAACTGGTCTCCATGAAAATAAATGAATTCACAGTACCTTGAACTACTAGTACTAGTAGGTGTATACTTAGCACAACACTTTTTCAAGTCTTATAGTTCTGGGACCAGTTTATTTTGTAAACAGATATTACATGGCTTAAATAGGAAATTTTAAAAATAATTTCTTTACAATAATTTGCATACTGAATTTTTTTCCTGGTAAAATTTGATTGAAAATTTTTATCCATTTCTGTTTTAAAATTATGCTTTTTCCATCCCTAACATCCTATCAGTCTGCTTGTATAATAACATGAAAGGGTCTTTTGTGTGAATGATTATGATGAAAATGAATAATGATACATCACCACTGTATGATGTGGTTAGTATACTCATGGTTTTGTAAAACGAGCTGTTAATTGTGATTCATGTGGAAGTCAGTCATTTGTTCATTCTTTGTAGTACATTTGTTTTTCTTTCTGTCCCATTTTTGTATACTAAACTGATAACCATATGATGCTATTGTGCACCTTTTTTTGTTTTTTTATCAGAATAATTTTTATAATTTTCTTTAGAAAATCATGTACACACGTCATTACACATTTATATTCCCTTTACCTCCCAAACCATAAATCAGAATTTAATGAAATTATAATGCTATTTTTTACCTCCTAATTTGTTATTTTATATCAAATAATTTTTTAGTGTCCCTAACCACAGCATGGACTTTGTACATGGGTATCATTTTATGAGCTTTTCTCTCAGTGTTTAACCTGTTGATAAATATGAATGACTAGTTTAAACTCTGTCTTAATTACAAAATACATAATTAACATTAGTCTTGAACCAAAGAAATAAATTGGAAAGCACTTTACATTATTATGATTAACTTATATAGTCTTATAATAGAAAATTAGTACTATACTGCAACCTTTTCCAAGATGAATAAGAAATACACATATTTGTCTGTTAAAGTTTTATGTGTTACATTTTTGTACCAATGTCTAGGAAAGAAGGATTAACTGAGTACAATGTACTTTGTCTTTTAGACAATTTTATCAGTAAACAAGAAGACTTATTAATTGATATAATATTAATGTATCAGATGTTTTGTTAGATTATATTTTGTTTTGGATATCATATTTGTTATTTGTAAAACTCTACCAAAAAATTATTTCAGTGATCAATAATCTTATCTTGAAATACAATGTAGTTTTGTTTTTACTGGTAAGTGGCACTGGATCACAGTGATGAGTGCAAAGCAGTTGCAGATTTATTTTTTCTAAAAGTCAACTTTTTTTTAAAATCATTTTATTATTAAAACTTAAAATTTTAAATGATAAAATATTCATTCTTTTTCAACTAATCAAAATTAAATCTCCGCACTTGCTTATTTTTTTATTCTGGGTCGCTGAGCGAGTGCAGAGATTTAATTTTAATTAGATTGATTCTTTTTGGTTGTATGATGAAATTTCATTTTAATACTGTTTGAAAATGTGAAAATTTATACCTATAAAATTACATGCAAAAACATTTTGTAGTATTTAACTCATTAGATGGAAATGAATGTTAAATTGTTTAATTTCTTATTTATATATATATAAAACTGCTTTTTAATTACGGTATGATGAACCAGTATTACACCCTGTGTGGGAAAATTAATTATTTCGTTTAAATTATAACTTATGAGTAAGATTTATGATCACAGAAATAGCTTTCTGGAAAAGTGTATAGCTTTTTGAATAAAGATTTGTTTATTTGTATGTCTAGTAAATATTTGCAGCCCATTTCAAGCAAAGAAGGATTAACTAAATACTGTGGATTCATTCATATTCGTGGGATACCAATTTTCATGGATTTCGTTGTTACAGGTGATCCATGAAATTAAATGTAAAGTGAATAACAAAATTCCTATAGTCTTGTATGCAGACTTTGGAAAAACCACAAAATCAAATATCCACGAAAATGCAAGAATTCCTGAATCCACAAAAATTGGTAGCCACGAAAATAAATGAATCCACAGTACTTTGTTTTTTAGACCTATTAGTAAACAAATAAGATTTGTATGTTCAGTTTTGGGTATAAGCCAGTAAGACACAAACCCAACAATACAGAAAACCGAACTAGAAGATCAACAAAAGGTCTTTATCAGTAGTACAAGATGTAAAGTTATAAATAACCTGAAGTCTAAAAATAGTATATGGATTTAACAGAGAGTATCAAACATTTGTCAAAGAACAGGCACAAGCAACAACCCAATAGGGCAAAAACCTTAGAAGTAACATAAGACAACCATTGGTCCTGACTTGAAATGGGCACATGTTGTAAATCTCAATTCTTCCCCTTTAAATATTGATGAGAAGAACAACTAGAGGAACAAAAATGAATCAGATCAAGACAGGAACTCAACTAACTCTCAAATACTAGTATAAGCTATTACAAAGATAAGTACAAGCAAAATGATGATAAACAATAGTGTATCAAAGAATGGTCACAGTTACTGAAAGCAAGCAAGTAGATTTCATACTGAAACACACAAAACAGTACATTAAGATGCTATATTTTACTGTGCCTGTTTTTCAATGCCAAAAAATAGAAATCATGTACATCGAAAAAGTAAAATAAGCAATAAATCAACAACAGAATAATTATAAATAAATTAAGTCAATAGAAAGATTTTTAGAACATTTTCTTAACTTGTTAGCTTAAATTATTTTAGTACTAGTATAACCCCCCCCCCCCCTTCCCCCATATAACAGAGTTCTTGAAAGCAAAGGACCAACCAAGACAATTTTGGTGTTTTGCAATAGAAATACTAGTGAGGACTACATGTAGCAGATTTTCTTCAAGAACCATCAGGGGAAATAAGATTTAGAGAACTCTGATACAATATCCATGTTTTCATGTCTGAACACAAAGTGTTTCAGTGATGCTTGAAACCAAAATATCATGGCATCTGAAAACTAAAGCAACAGTGGAAGCGCTGATATAACAAAATAAAAAGTATAGCAAATTCTGTTCAAGGATTCTGCAGTTTAGAAAGAACAAAGTAAATTTAAGACAACAATATTTGCCTTGTTCCATAAGGACGTAGCTTATATTAAGGAACTATGTTATGTAATAATTTTCACTTAAACTGCTACAAAAAGTAACTTCACAGAAAAACATGAAAATTATAGTTCATACAATGTAATGTGTTTTGATGAAATTTACAAACAAATAATTATAATAATTGATGGTGTCTTTTTCAAATTTACTATCAACTACAACTTTATTTGGCGTCTTTGTTAGATTTATTCCTATGTTTGTTTGAATTATTTTGTCAGTTGTTTTGTATGACTGTGATCATGACTGTGATGTGCAGAGGCGGATTTAGGGGGGCCCAGGGGGCCCGGGCCCCCTTTTTTGTGAAAAATTTGGTTGATTATATAGGGAATCACTGAAGCATGACTGGAGCGGGCCCCCTCTTAGGCAGTCAGTGGGCCCCCACCTAGTTTCAGGACAATAACTTGTGTGTAAGTGTATGGATCTTTCTGAAATTGTACTACAAGGTTCCATATCTCAAAGGGAAAGCTGGAATTGAGTTTGGGGGTAATTGCCGAAACGTTTAGGAATTGGGAACCAAAAAGGGGCCAAAAATAAGCATTTTTCTAGTTTCCAGACAATAACTTGTGTTCAAGTGTATGGATCTCTCTGAAATTGTACTGCAAGGTACCATATCACAAAGGGAAGGCTGGGATTGATGATGGGGGAAATTGCCTCAATATTTTAGGAATTAGGGGCCAAAAAGGGGCAAAAAACAAGCATTTTTCTAGTTTCAGGACAATAACTTGTGTGTAAGTGTATGGATCTTTCTGAAATTGTACTACAAGGTTCCATATCACAAAGGGAAAGCTGGGTTTGAGTTTGGGGGTAATTGCCCTAAATTTTTAGGAATTTGGGGCCAGAAAGGGGCCAAAAAACATATTTTTCTAGTTTCCAGACAATAACTTGCGTTCAAGTGTATGGATCTCTCTGAAATTGTACTGCAAGGTACCATACCACAAAGGGACGGCTGGGATTGAGTTTGGGGGTGATGAATCATAAGAGGGTTCAAAAAATTTGGGGGGGAGGATTTTTTTTTTCCTTTTTTTTTCTTTTTTTCCTTTTTTTTTTTCTTTTAAAATTTTCCATTTTAAGTTGGTTATTTCTGATTTATATCTAAAAGCAAATAATAATGACATGGCAGGAGATACACACCAAACAGGATGTGTAAATTATTATATAATAAATATTGTGCAATAGCAAGAAATTTTCAATTGCACAGTATTGCACAATAGCAAGAAATCTTCAATTGCACAGTATTGCGCAATAGCAGAAATCTTCAATTGCACAGTATTGCGCAATAGCAAGAAATATCCAATAGCACAATATTGCGCAATAGCAAGAAATTTTCAATTGTACAGTATTGCACAATAGCAAGAAATATTTAATTGCACAGTATTGTGCAAAAGAAGATACTTCGTATAAATTGCTTATTTCTTGGGGTTTTATTCTTGAATTCTTGGGGTTCTTTCATATGCTGAATCTAACAGTGTATCTAGTTTTTGGATTTTGGGCCCCGTTTTTAAATTGGTCCACATTGAGGTCTAAAGGGTCCAAAATTAAACTTTGTTTGATTTCATCAAAAATTGAATTATTGGGGTTCTTTGATATGCCGAATCTAACCATGTATTTAGATTCTTAATTTTTGGTTCCGTTTTCAAATTGGTCTACATTAAGGTCCAAAGGGTCCAAAATTAAACTTAGTTTGATTTTAACAAAAATTGAATTCTTAGGGTTCTTTGATATGCTGAATCTAAACATGTATTTAGATTTTTGATTATGGGCCCAGTTTTCAAGTTGGTCCAAATCGGGGTCCAAAATTAAACTTTGTTTGATTTCAACAAAAATTATATATATGGGGTTCTTTGATATGCTGAATCTAACCATGTATTTAGATTTTTCATTTTTGGGCCCCGTTATCAACTTTGTCCACATTGAGGTCAAAAGGGTCCAAAATTAAACTTTGTTTGATTTCATCAAAAATTGAATTCTTGGGGTTCTTTGATATGCTGAATCTAACCATGTATTTAGATTTTGGATATTGGACCATAATAGGTGAATGTCCAATTTAAAATTTTTAAGTTCTTAGACCACATCTATTCTGTGTCAGAAACCTATGCTGTGTCAAATATTTAATCACAATCCAAATGCAAAGCTGTATCAAGCTTGAATGTTGTGTCCATACTTGCCCCAACTGTTCTGGGTTCGACCTCTGCGGTCGTATCAAGCTGCGCCCTGCGGAGCATTTTATTAAAACTAATTTTCATTTTTTATTTGCCAATTATCTTAAAAACTATAATAAATAGGTAGAAACTGTGAAATGCAAACATTATCAACAATACAAAGGTCGACAAAACGCCAATCTGACCGAAACAAAAAAATTAAATAAAAAAATGTCCATAGTTCCCAAAATGAGGATTATGCATCTTGCTTAATTTTATCCCCGTTATTCAACTTACAATATAAAAATAAGAAGTTGTGGTATGATTGCCAATGAGACAATATACCCCAGAATTCAAATGATGAAGCTAGAAGAATTTATAGGTCACCATAAGCTTTCTCGTTTGAATTGTTTCACATTTTTAATAGGGGCCTTTTTTAGCTGACTACATGTATATGGTGGTTTTTTTTCATTTTTGAAGGCCATACGGTGACTTATAACTGCTTATATCCACCGATTTGAACTCTAATGGATAGTTGTCTCATTTGCAATTATACCACACCACATGGCCTGATTTTTTTTATCTTGAAACGGAACTTATACTGGTCAATATCTTATGTATACACTCTTAACAATGTACACTTTGTTTTTTAAATTTCATACATACATGTACTAGTAGTTAATTTATAACATTATCTGTTCACTAAACATATCTAGAAATAACTCAATGGTTATTATACTACTTTGACTGAATTTATCTAATAAAGATAGACATGAGATCTTCTTAGAGCAATGGGACGACGGATCAGTAATACTTAATTTATCATTTTGATATGGGTAAATGGCTTAAGTTTAGTACTATTTCTAACATCCCACGTAAAACAAAAAACAAAAAATTCCTTCGAAGCAGTTAAGAAAATCCTATATTATTGAGTTATCTACTACCGCAGTGTGATTGCAGAAGTGTACAGAATAGCTTGTCGAATATTTGCCAAGCGAGGATTTTATTAAATAACCATGCTAAATCATACAGATTATCGTTCGAAATTCCTACGCAGTGACATTTAAAGATTGAGATATATTTATCTTTTGAGTTTCCACTTTCTTGATCCGATACGTTGTGAAGTTGTGTAGGAAGAGTATTGCGCACATTGCACTTAAAAGCGCCCTTGTGCAACTATTAGGGGTCTCTAGGTTGTCTCATGGTCTGTCCTAGTTGAAATAATTATGTCGCCTTGGAAGGCTATTGTAATGTTTTGTCTTGGCGCCAATGAGGGATCTATAAAAATCAAAATAGAAAAATACCACAGCAGATGTCATGGTTATCCGGACTAGATCTATCAAACATGCCTTCATCTTCCAATGGCAATCCAAATTTATAGCCTTCATCTTTGTCGCCTCACTTTATAAGTGAGTTTAAGTTGTTCTTGTCCTGAATTTGAATGAAATATTTTCCACTGGACTTTAATTACAACATTCAACTAATCAAAAAAACGCTCTTGATAACAGGAAAATTGA